TTTAGGCCGACGAACCAACTTCTCGCCGGCCAAAATGGCGCTACCAAAAGCAGTTGTACTTTGTTGGTTAACAGAACTTTCTGAATGACCTTGTGAAGTAGAGCCGGAGGCGGAAACGCATAAGGATCCTGTTGTGCCTGAATACAATCGTCGATATAGCTTTCGAAGGTTACTCCCCGAGAAAGCAGGAAACTGCTGATGGGTTTGGTCACCCGGGTTAAAAGCCACGGGGCCGTAGAGATTCCAAATGGAAGGACTTTCCATTGGAAGTGGTGGCCCGCGAATGTGAACCTCAGATACTTCCGATGATCTGGGGTGAATCGGAAAGTGGAAGGTATCGTCTTGAAGATCGAGGGATATGAGGAAATCCCCTTTCTTCAAAATTGAGCGGAGAAGACTGACTGATATCATTCGAAAATGAGGTGGTTGTTGTAGGAATCGAGCGTTGAATGTCTTCATATTGAAGATGAGACGCAACTTGCTGGAATTTTTCTTTGGCACCAGCAAAATCGGGGAGTAAAACCCTGGAGTTATGCTCACCGGATTGAGGTGTTCTATCGCATGTTTCTCCAGGAGAGTTGAGATTGTAGCCAAAAGGACTGCAGCCCGATCCAGAGGATATATTTGCTGCAAAGGTTGAATGGTGATGGGGGATCCCCGACCACAGGCAGTCGATAGCCGTGAATGAGAGTCATTGTGACAAATGGATCTCCCAGAAACTCCCAGTTGGGAGCAAACAGACCTAACCTCCCTCCTACAGGGGAATAGAACACTGGAACCACCGGATCCGGCAGAACCAATCCGAGCTCTGACTTCCGTGAGTCACTGTTTGGACTGTCTATGTCTAGTTCCAGTGTCGAGGTCGATAGAGAAACGGCGTGATGCGGAACCACACGGTAAATGGCTTCCGGCCTCTGCCGCGATGCTTGAGAAGCGCCGTGCCTTTCATACAGTCCCGGAGGTCTGGGTTGGAAGGGTAAATTATCGCGGTTCAGCGATGCCGCATAGAATCTTGGAGCTGAATTTTGCAATTCCAAGAGATCGACAGATACTTGAAATTGGTTAAGACGGTCCACCTTGGATGCGACTTCTGCAATAGCCCCACTGAACACCGTATCCCCGACCATGGTTGACGAAATACTTCAGCCTTGAATCTATCTTCCAATGAGGAGAAATTCAATGGACCCCGTCGCCGTATTGCAAGAAAATAGCCAAAAAAATGAGACAATTGCTCGAAGACCACCTGGAATTGGTCTAAAATCAGAGTCATACTACCCCTGATGTATGCGTCCTGGTCCGTATATGCATGATTGACAGCCTCCGACACAGCGTCAACAGCTGAAATAATGCAGCTAATGGCAGGGATAGCATGGCGAACCGTAGTATCTAAGTGAGCCAATTCCCTGTCTTCCACCAAATATGGCGAAATGGAACGCTTGCCACAGACCATGGAAATGTCATCATCAACTGAAGTATGTGCCATCGATGGTCGGAACCTTGGAGCAGACAAACCATCCTTCGTCCTTCTAAGCTTGTTGAAAGCCGCGTCAAGAGAAGAAGGCAATTGTTGAAGACATAAAGCAAAGGGAGTGTGATACTGGAAACATCTCTATTAGTCATGGCATAAGACGTGGCGAAATCATCTGGAGATTTACTAAGAGGTAGCTGAAGTTTTTCAACTATCCAGGCTAGCACGTGAGCCGGTTCAACAACATCAAAACTGCCATCAGGAGTGGAGATGTCTGACTGCCCAGGTGAAGGGAAAGTAGTCTGAGATCGAGTCCGATCCCTCAAATCCACAGAACGATTAGTGCTAAGTACGCCAGACGATTGTTGGAAATGTCAGGACGAGCGACACTGATTCCAAGCCGACGTACGACACGAAGCATGGTATCTAAATCCGGCGCTGGAGAGGAATCAATAGCAGGATTCCAAGACTCAGCAATAATCTGTGACGCTGCAAAGTAGAAGTGGAATGGCGTGAAGGTGAAGCGGCTGATCAACTGAAGCGAAGGCTGCCTAGCAGGTGAAACCACCCTCACAGAACGGCGTTGCTGATGTGTACTATCATGTAAAGGCACTGACCGTGAAGGCGTCACTAGCACTAGGCTGGCTAGAGGGATATTCTGATTCACCTGAGGTGAATGAGACCGACTTCTATTATCCCTCTGACGCCAAAGACACCAAGCGTTAGGTGAACCAGATGGAAATGGCGAACCACTTCGACTAGGTGAGACTGAAAGCGACTACGGAATCAAAAGCGGCTGTGGTGAGTCGAACGAAGCTTATGTTGAGGTGAGTTGAGTCGGGAATGTGACCCGGTTAGGTCCTGGTGAACCTATTTGAGTACGTGAAACAGTACGGCCAGAGGAACCCATTCAACTACGTGAATCAGTTCGATCAATTGAACTCATTCGAGGATGTTCTGGTGAGCCGGCTCGGTCGTGTGAGCCGGCTCGGTCGTGTGAGCCGGTTCGGCAGGGTGAGCCAGTTCGGCAGGGTGAGCCGGCTCGGCAGGGTAAGCCGGCTCGGGAAAGTGAACTGATTCGTCCTGGTGAACCCATTCGATTACGTGAATCAATTGGAACTGGTATGTTAGAAGGCCGACAAGAGCTCGAGCGTGAACGAGACCTAGAACGACTCCTCCCAGCCGTGGAAGAATGCATTCGAACCTTCGCACCAGATGGTGACTCAACTCGTGTGGTTGAATTGTTCCGGTGAGATGAGACCGTGGAAATAGGAGAGCGGGTACATTCCAACCGCGCCGATCCCCGCTTCGACGATGAATGCTTAGAAGTTCTCGAAGTCTGTGATCGTTCCGAAGAAACAGACCTACTAGATAATGTAGATCGCAGGTCTGGCGTAGAAGAAATATCGGTCATTACCACCCTGGTACGCTCATGAGAACTTAAACTGGGTGAGGGAAGCTCCCCTAACAGCCTTCTAACGTTCTCAGATAAATATGAATCCGACGAAGCGTCCATAAAATCTTCGTCAGGAGAGACGGGCGATTTAGAACGGTGAGCAGTGAGGGTGGGGCGATCTAAGCATTGTTTCTTAGCCGGAGATGAACCAGACCCCGCAGAATTAGTCCTAGCCCTATCTGCCAAACGTCTGGCACAAGCACGTTTGCAAGATTTAAACGCCTCATTAGACAGACCTGAACACTTAGCACAGCGTGTGTCCCAGTCACAAAAACCCACACAATCAACACACGATGTGTGTGGGTCCCATGCTGAAAATACTTTATTACAACGGGCGCAAAACTTCCTTTTACTGGCCTGAACAGGCTTAACCATTTTGAGCAATTCTCAGAAGAAAAATTTTTCACGTCCACTCAGTGGAGCGACAAGAAAGAGAATGAGTATGTGAGGTGATCACTTGGGTGAGGACTGCGCATGCCTCGTGCTGTCATGGACTAGTGAGCACGACTGAGACAGGAAGGCATGCACAGCACGGGAGAGGGACAAGGTAGGCCTGGAGCAAAGTTTTAATTCGTTTCCACTCATGGTCGAATGAAGAGAGAGAGGTGCAAGTCGTGAGATAGGATAAGTTTAAAAATTTGTTTGTTTTATGTGACTTGCACTTGTTGAACCTCAAACTTCTGAATGAATACCCGTGTAAAAATAGAGGAACATCAGGTACTTGCAAAGTAGAAGTGGCCCTGTTTGCCACGATCAAAGTCTTAAAATCACACCATTTAGGTTCAGTCCTAAAACATTACTCACAGACCTTGGTCCAGGACAACTTCTAAAGATCCAACCTAAGCTACCCAACAGCCACCTCAAAGATGACCTTGACCTATGATAAACATGACACCGACAGGATTATCAGGACTTTAATACGTACATGCTGATATAAAGTTTCAGGCATGTGGAGGTAATCTTGCCTCATAAACTGAAGGGAGCAAAAACCTAAATACTGACCTTGACCTTTAATGATTTAAAGATGGGCCCAATCCTAAAGAAGGGATATAGCAAGTTTAATGATAAATGTATTAACATCTTTCGAGAAAAGATAACCACAAGCGCTTTTGTGATGTTATTCTGTTGTCTTTGACCTTTAAATCGTTTCATGATATACACCAATTCCTTGAGCTATGCAGAACAAGACGACTGCACATCTTACAACGTCATAACGTCAGTCATCTTTGCATGAAGAGAAAGAATGATACACCTACTTTTGACAATTACTTTAGAGGTGACCTTCACATATGATATATGACAATAAATTCATTAACAGTTTTACAGAAAGTTTAACCACTACATGCTTTGTAAAGTCTGATGAACTTGAAATTTGACCTTTTCAAGAACTGTTCTGAAACATTTCTAAGGGGCATTTGGAAGCAGTTCCTTGAAGGAGATAATCTAATATCAATAATCTCTGTGTGGCAGACATTTAAAACGTCACAGGTGGTGGCTGGTGCAGCATCTTGGTAATGTGAGATGTAGATGTCCAGACTGGTTCTGATGTTATCGATAATGATGACATTTCTTGTTTACCTATGGAAGATAGCCTTGACTATATCAAAGATCATGAGTTTATTCCGAAAATCTCACAATATTGCATTCTGTATAAGTGAAGTTATGAATCCCCTACTGAGGAAATAAGATGCTTTTGGAATCTGTAATGACATGCTGAAGAGGGTAGGAGGCTATGTTCATGGTACAGAATATATCTTTCCAGGGTTTCTTATTGTTTACACTCCTGGTTCAAGTGGAATCTTCATATTTGCCAGCTTCCCTCTCTCCAGTGAAATATCCATATACAAACCCAGATGAACATGAGACACTAAAACGATGACTTCAGACAAGAATATACTCCCAAATGTACTGATGTACCCACTTCAGTTCTACAGGATTACCACTTGCAGGTGACACAGCAAGATACTGATATGATATCAGTCTGTAAATACTGAAGTTTTGGACAAGACAATCCAGTGATCAACATCACAAGCATCGATCTAGGCTACTGGAATTCCATAGCATGTATCAGGCAAGTCAGTGAATCTGACCATCCAATCCCATAAGGTTCCTGATTCCTTGAATCTGTAGCGAAGAACAGTCTTGTAATATCAACACGGCATCTCATCCACCGTGTACAGCCAGCCTGTCCCGCTCACCTGAACACACTCCCATGTTTCTGCCACCCACCGGTACAACACCGGCTAGTTCCAACTACAATGATTAATCCACCTCAGTGGTGTGAGTGGTGACCCCTGGGGCCTATCACCATTCAGCCGTCCATGCATTTTCCTATCAGATTCATTTGGCCACAGTTTAGGTGGCGGTTATTATGGACAAACGACCTGTACCAGCATGAAACGTATAGTCCCACATCAGTGCTGAGCGATATCACCCATATCAACTACAAAGCAATGCTTACAATAATGACACCATCTGACACATTTATCCACAAGTTGGGAGCTATTAGTTATTATGGTCAGCTTATTACTAAGACGAAAATCTATTGAAAACAATGCCTAGAGTTTCTGACACAGTAATAAATGTCCCCTCTGATAACCTTCACAGGAAACGAACTCCAACTTTGAAAGCATTGAAAGCGTTGTTTCTTCGTGGAACACAAATCTGGTTAAAAACGACAACAATTTCGACAAGTTTTACTTGTGTTGAGCGCTATTTTCCCTGTGCTGTGCAAAGCGACACCTATCGGGGGATCAAAGAGTGAGAAGCTGTCTATCAAATAAAGGGTATACAATACAGAGGTACAGTCAGACTGATAACTGTTTTTGTTGGTGATTAATGCATAAAAGACTTATTGGTGAATATTGGTAGTGTAGGCACAGAAAAACAGTACAGAATATCCCTTCTAAGACTGCAGGTAAACGACCAGGTCATGGCTTTGTCAATATAATGTGAAATCTGAGATACATTATCACTAGACATAATGATTTACCATTTAAATTGTACTTTCTGTTCTGCTATGTATAGTTTTATGCACAGATATGAAGATTACTGTGTGAATGTTCTCATAAACTAATCTGGAAACTAGCAATCAGCTGAATGCACATTTTTCCACAAATCTACCTGTGATTCAGTTAAAATATACCCAATAATAATTTTTTTATTACCTACGAGGGCGAAAATATTGGGGTTCGTATTTTTCATAAGATGCCCTAGGGCAAAATATCACGTTGTCATAGTGATGTGACGTCATGAACAATGCTATGACATTATGTTTCTTCTGTGACATTGCGTTCTACATACGGTGACAGGGGTAGCCATCCTATGTTTGAAAGTAGATGTCTGGTTTATTTTCCTCAATTTGACGACTTCGGTAATGAACTGAATATTATATTCATGCCAATATCATACTATGTTTACAACACTCGCACCTAAATATCGCTATATCCCTCGCTTTCGCTCAGGGAATACCAACATTTAGGTGCTTGTGTTGTAAACATAGTATGACATGGGCACTCATATAATATCCTCTATTTATGCAATGGTCAAATGAAAGAGTTATAGTATAAGAAATTATATATTCTAGTGCAGCTTTTACTACCAGTTTCTGCTTATAAACATAATACCACTATGTAATAATCGATTACCTTTGCCGGATTATCTGTATGTATGAAACAGTTTGATTCTAACCACTGATGTCGCACACATCAGCAAATGAATTAAAACAAAATGCAAATGTCATAATTACAACCAAAAACAGTTATGTGTATAATATCAGGCAGTTACCTTGTCTGAGGAACATGTCTTTGGTCATCATGGAATTTTGTTTCCCTTTAAACTTCCAGGAATGCAAATAAAAATCATGATGAAAAATTTTTTCCAGGCATTTAGAAGTGATGCATATAAGGAAGACAGTTTTTTATGGATGTTAACATAATAAAGAAATTGACATCCATTAAAAAAACTCTGCCTTATTTTTTTTCCCCATTTTGAAGACATGATTAGACTTGCATGAAAGCAGAAGTTCAGAGTGCATGCTGTGCAGAATTGCATCCCTTGCCGATTCTTCCTTGTCATCCCTGGTTTGTCAGTATACATCCACTGGTTTGTCAGTATACATCCACTGGTTTGTCAGTATACATCCACTGGTTTGTCAGTATACATCCACTGGTTTGTCAGTATACATCCACTGGTTTGTCAGTATACATCCACTGGTTTGTCAGTATACATCCACTGGTTTGTCAGTATACATCCACTGGTTTGTCAGTATACATCCACTGGTCTGTCAGTATACATCCACTGGTTTGTCAGTATACATCCACTGGTTTGTCAGTATACATCCACTGGTCTGTCAGTATACATCCACTGGTTTGTCAGTATACATCCACTGGTTTGTCAGTATACATCCACTGGTTTGTCAGTATACATCCACTGGTTTGTCAGTATACATCCACTGGTTTGTTCCACTGGTTTGTCAGTATACATCCACTGGTTTGTCAGTATACATCCACTGGTTTGTCAGTATACATCCACTGGTTTGTCAGTATACATCCACTGGTTTGTCAGTATACATCCACTGGTTTGTCAGTATACATCCACTGGTCTGTCAGTATACATCCACTGGTCTGTCAGTATACATCCACTGGTTTGTCAGTATACATCCACTGGTCTGTCAGTATACATCCACTGGTTTGTCAGTATACATCCATTGCTTTGTCAGTATACATCCACTGGTCTGTCAGTATACATCCACTGGTTTGTCAGTATACATCCACTGGTCTGTCAGTATACATCCACTGGTTTGTCAGTATACATCCACTGGTCCGTCAGTATACATCCACTGGTCTGTCAGTATACATCCACTGGTCTGTCAGTATACATCCACTGGTTTGTCAGTATACATCCACTGGTTTGTCAGTATACATCCACTGGTTTGTCAGTATACATCCACTGGTCTGTCAGTATACATCCACTGGTTTGTCAGTATACATCCACTGGTTTGTCAGTATACATCCACTGGTTTGTCAGTATACATCCACTGGTCTGTCAGTATACATCCACTGGTTTGTCAGTATACATCCACTGGTTTGTCAGTATACATCCACTGGTCTGTCAGTATACATCCACTGGTTTGTCAGTATACATCCACTGGTCTGTCAGTATACATCCACTGGTCTGTCAGTATACATCCACTGGTTTGTCAGTATACATCCACTGGTCTGTCAGTATACATCCACTGGTTTGTCAGTATACATCCACTGGTTTGTCAGTATACATCCACTGGTTTGTCAGTTTACATCCACTGGTTTGTCAGTATACATCCACTGGTTTGTCAGTATACATCCACTGGTTTGTCAGTATACATCCACTGGTTTCAGGAAATGGAAAAAGTGTACAACCATTGTCCTTTCCTCACACACACAGCTGACATGGGGTCACACCCCGGGTAAACTGGTCCAAGAGAGCTGAACCTTACTCACTCATGCACACACAATAGGAAGCTGGCTCACAGACTGGACTTAGTAAATAATTCTTTTACTTCATCAAAACTGACCAAATTTGTGAGCTGTTTTTGTGTTGCTCTCGTTTGACCTATCCAACAAACAACTTTTCTTCAACATGTTATGGATAAGTTTTTTCCATCTATTTCTTGTATTCAGGTATGGAATGAACATCCCCGCCAATTTGATCACATGGCTGAAATAGTCACATGGCAGCAGCAGTAGTCTCCCTTCTGAGAGGGTTGATAGATGAGCACTAAAATCATCTCTGCATGAAGTTCTGCTCTGTAAGTGCAGCTGCAGCAGGTACAGCCCATTTGCCCTTAGCCAAATACATATCCACCATGTTAGTTTCTTATCACTGATGTAGCTGCACACCGTTGTGTGATTATTTGAAAACAACTAATCAAAAGTGTTGTACAGATCTTGAAGACATTTGTACAATATTCTTGAAAGCCTAAACACAGATGGAGCAGAGCTTGTGCACATCATGCACTGGTACAGATCTTAGACATTTACCATACATCTACTGGTACAGATCTTAGAGTTACATACTGCTACTGGTACAGATACATACAAGTTTTACTTTTTCTAGCACATACTGGTACAGATCTTAGACATTTACCATACATCTACTGGTACAGATCTTAGACATACATCTTGGTATCTTAGACATTTACCATACATCTACTGGTACAGATCTTAGACATGGAGTACTTAGACATACATACACTGGTACAGATCTTAGACATTTACAGATCACCATACATCTACTGGTACAGATCTTAGACATTTACCATACATCTACTGGATCTTAGACATTTACCATACATCTACTGGTACAGATCTTAGACATTTACCATACATCTACTGGTACAGATCTTAGACATTTACATCTACTGGTACAGATCTTAGACATTTACCATACATCTACTGGTACAGATCTTAGACATTTACCATACATCTACTGGTACAGATCTTAGACATTTACCATACATCTGCTGGTACAGATCTTAGACATTTACCATACATCTACTGGTACAGATCTTAGACATTTGGTACGGATCTTAGACATTTACCATACATCTGCTGGTACAGATCTTAGACATTTACCATACATCTACTGGTACAGATCTTAGACATTTACCATACATCTGCTGGTACAGATCTTAGACATTTACCATACATCCACTGGTACAGATCTTCGACATCTACTGGTACAGATCTTAGACATTTACCATACATCTGCTGGTACAGATCTTAGACATTTACCATACATCTGCTGGTACAGATCTTAGACATTTACCATACATCTACTGGTACAGATCTTAGACATTTACCATACATCTACTGGTACAGATCTTAGACATTTACCATACATCTACTGGTACAGATCTTAGACATTTACCATACATCTGCTGGTACAGATCTTAGACATTTACCATACATCTACTGGTACAGATCTTAGACATTTACCATACATCTACTGGTACAGATCTTAGACATTTACCATACATCTGCTGGTACAGATCTTAGACATTTGGTACGGATCTTAGACATTTACCATACATCTGCTGGTACAGATCTTAGACATTTGGTACAGATCTTAGACATTTACCATACATCTACTGGTACAGATCTTAGACATTTACCATACATCTACTGGTACAGATCTTAGACATTTGGTACGGATCTTAGACATTTACCATACATCTGCTGGTACAGATCTTAGACATTTACCATACATCTACTGGTACAGATCTTAGACATTTACCATACATCTGCTGGTACAGATCTTAGACATTTACCATACATCTACTGGTACAGATCTTAGCCATACATCTACTGGTACAGATCTTAGACATACATCTACTGGTACAGATCTTAGACATTTATCTACTGGTACAGATCTTAGACATTTACCATACATCTACTGGTACAGATCTTAGACATTTACCATACATCTGCTGGTACAGATCTTAGACATTTACCATACATCTACTGGTACAGATCTTAGACATTTACCATACATCTACTGGTACAGATCTTAGACATTTACCATACATCTGCTGGTACAGATCTTAGACATTTACCATACATCTACTGGTACAGATCTTAGACATTTGGTACAGATCTTAGACATTTACCATACATCTACTGGTACAGATCTTAGACATTTACCATACATCTACTGGTACAGATCTTAGACATTTGGTACAGATCTTAGACATTTACCATACATCTGCTGGTACAGATCTTAGACATTTACCATACATCTACTGGTACAGATCTTAGACATTTACCATACATCTACTGGTACAGATCTTAGACATTTACCATACATCTACTGGTACAGATCTTAGACATTTGGTACGGATCTTAGACATTTACCATACATCTGCTGGTACAGATCTTAGACATTTACCATACATCTACTGGTACAGATCTTAGACATTTGGTACGGATCTTAGACATTTACCATACATCTACTGGTACAGATCTTAGACATTTGGTACGGATCTTAGACATTTACCATACATCTACTGGTACAGATCTTAGACATTTGGTACAGACATTACCATACATCTACTGGTACAGATCTTAGACATTTACCATACATCTACTGGTACAGATCTTAGACATTTACCATACATCTACTGGTACAGATCTTAGACATTTACCATACATCTGCTGGTACAGATCTTAGACATTTACCATACATCTACTGGTACAGATCTTAGACATTTGGTACGGATCTTAGACATTTACATCTGCTGGTACAGATCTTAGACATTTACCATACATCTACTGGTACAGATCTTAGACATTTACCATACATCTACTGGTACAGATCTTAGACATTTACCATACATCTGCTGGTACAGATCTTAGACATTTGGTACAGATCTTAGACATTTACCATACATCTGCTGGTACAGATCTTAGACATTTACCATACATCTACTGGTACAGATCTTAGACATTTACCATACATCTACTGGTACAGATCTTAGACATACATCTACTGGTACAGATCTTAGACATACATCTACTGGTACAGATCTTAGACATACATCTACTGGTACAGATCTTAGACATTTACCATACATCTACTGGTACAGATCTTAGACATTTACCATACATCTACTGGTACAGATCTTAGACATTTACCATACATCTACTGGTACAGATCTTAGACATTTGGTACAGATCTTAGACATTTATATCTCTGGTACTGGTACAGATCTTGGTACAGATCTTAGACATTTACCATACATCTACTGGTACAGATCTTAGACATTTACCATACATCTGCTGGTACAGATCTTAGACATTTACCATACATCTGACTGGTACAGATCTTAGACATTTACCATACATCTGCTGGTACAGATCTTAGACATTTACCATACATCTACTGGTACAGATCTTAGACATTTGGTACGGATCTTAGACATTTACATACATCTGCTGGTACAGATCTTAGACATTTACCATACATCTACTGGTACAGATCTTAGACATACATCTACTGGTACAGATCTTAGACATACATCTACTGGTACAGATCTTAGACATACATCTACTGGTACAGATCTTAGACATTTATCATACATCTGCTGGTACAGATCTTAGACATTTACCATACATCTGACTGGTACAGATCTTAGACATTTTGGGGTGTTGTCCTCCTCATAATCCCACAACTCACCTCAAGAAGACAAGAACACAACTCACCTCAAGAAGAACCACAACTCACCTCAAGAACACCCACAACTCACCTCAAGAAGAACCACAACTCACCTCAAGAACACCCACAACTCACCTCAAGAACACCCACAACTCACCTCAAGAAGAACCACAACTCACCTCAAGAAGAACCACCACTCTGCCATTGGCAAGACCACTCAGCATATGTGTCATGTGAGCATACCCTGCTGGTGTGATGTCATACCCGCCCTGGGATACAGCAAATCAGAGGATTAGACAATGTCCAGGACAATATTATGCCTCATATAGCGATCAGACATGTCATAAATATGTCCGGCACGCCTCAAAAACATTTATTCAAACACAGCTCAATGTCATTACTTAAATGTCAAAGGTTGATTCACTATTGACCCAGCAGAGGCTATCAGTTTGTGTCCTGCAGGTGGGAAACAAGTAGTTACACACGTGAAGACATTAACAAATATCACTTGGATGCAAGTTATTGTGATACGACACCCTCACTCTGACTCTGACGAGTAGGAATCACACATTCACCAACATGTCACAGAGCAAGAAGGGACTTACCAGTGGGTCACCTCTGGCGGCATCGAACCCCGCGGACACCAAGACCAGGTCTGGAGCAAACTGCAAGAGAGGTGTGTAGGCGTATCACCAGTTTGTGGAGACAGTAAGTTTTACAATAATGTAATACTTTTGAATGCGAGAAATAATGATCTTAAATATGTGACAAAATACAAACCTTTTAACCCACATGTCTATTTTGGAATACCAGATACATCAGTGTCATGTGTTCATTTTTTAGGTGATTTTTTCTCTTACCAACATGTCCCCCCTATGCTGCTCACCTCATAGGCCACAGGCATGATGATCTGCTGGAAGGCGCTGATGTACTCCGAGTCCCCCATGCGACCCTGGAAGGAAGCTCATGGGATTACAGCACTGTATGACCTACAGTGAAATAACATGTCATAACAACTGATAACTACGTTTGTTTGGTTGTGTTGTATAATTACACCAAGAAGGGGAAATAATGTAAACAATGTCCCTTGTAGCCTAGCAACAGCACATTCATGGTTTGACTTGCATTATACACAACGTCATGAACGACATGAGAATAGTACTGCACTGTACTTCAGCCTGGTTAGAATGATGATGTCCTACCCCGCTCCACGACACGTTGATGTTGTAGCCGGCTCCTTCACCATAGCCGACCTCTGTGTAGTTGCCGTCAACGCTTGCAGGATAAAACCCACCGTTGTCATAGCGATGTAACGATATAAACAGGACACTGAAGAAAGAACAATAAATATAGTCAGGTGTAACATCGTATTGGGTTTCATGTATGGAGAATGTAACATGAAATGTGGATCACACATGTTCGGCTAAAATTCCCAAAGATTAACATCAGTAGAATCTTAGAGTTAATTTATATCCTGAGCGGAATAGTCAGGTGAATATACATTGCCGTGAATAGTAAAGTAAGCGTATATTGTAATGAATAGTAAGGTGAGTATATATGATTGTGAATAGTAAGGTGAGTATATATTGCATGAATAGTAAGGTGAGTATATATTGAAGTGAGTAGTAAGGTATATATGTGAATAGAAGGTGAGTGTATATTACTGTGAATAGTGTGAGTACATTACTGTGAATAGTAAGGTGAGTATATATTGCAGTGAATAGTAAGGTGAGTGTATATTGCAGTGAATAGTAAAGGTGAGTAGTATAGTTGTATATTACATGAATAGTAATAGTATATATTACTGTGAATAGTAAATGTGAGTATATATTGAATGAATAGTAAGGTGAGTATATATTGCAGTGAATAGTAAGGTGAGTATATATTGCAGTGAATAGTAAGGTGAGTATATATTACAGTGAATAGTAAGGTGAGTGTATATTGCAGTGAATAGTAAGGTGAGTATATATTGCAGTGAATAGTAAGGTGAGTGTATATTGCAGTGAATAGTAAGGTGAGTATATATTATAGTGAATAGTAAGGTGAGTGTATATTGCAGTGAATAGTAAGGTGAGTGTATATTGCTGTGAATAGTAAGGTGAGTATATATTGCAGTGAAAGTGAAAGTAAGGTGTGAGTGTATATGCAGTGAATAGTAAGGTGAGTGTATATTGCGGTGATTAGTAAGGTGAGTATATATTGCAGTGAATAGTAAGGTGAGTGTATATTACTGTGAATAGTAAGGTGAGTATATATTTTAGTGAATAGTAAGGTGAGTATATATTTTAGTGAATAGTAAGGTGAGTATATATAGTGAATAAGGTGAGTATATATTGGAGTATATATTGCAGTGAATAGTAAGGTGAGTGTATATTGTAGTAAGGTGAGTATATATTTTAGTGGATAGAATGGTATATACACAGTAGTGAATATTGAGGTGAGTATATAGTGAACTGAGTATATATTGAAGTCAATAGTAACGTGTGCATGTATCATAGCTACCTGGGATCATCCTGAAATACATGCTGGGTGCCGTTCCCATGATGGACGTCCCAGTCAAGGATTAGGATTCTGAAACATGGCACAAATTTTGACATTAATATATACTTACACATTGTGAGAATATGCCCCCTAAGCATTGAAAATTAACAAGACGACATTATGACTAATCACTTTGCTCTACATTATAGACAAGTGTTATCTGCACAATGTCCACTGTGTCAGAGTGGAGGCAACTGCAAAGCTGCACACTAGACACAGAGGTTGCTTCCCCTTATACACTACATACAGTAGTTGCCTCCCCACTACACACACGGAGGTTTTCTCAGGGCTGGGATAGGGTTGAGACAGCCTGGGACATAACTGGGACAGGGTTGGGAAAATCTGGGCCAGAGTTGGGACAGCATGGGACAGGATTGGGACAGGGTGCGGACAGCATCGGACAGAACTGGGACAATGTTGGGACAGGTATGGGTCAGGACTGGGACAGGGTTGGGACAGCATCGCACAGAACTGGGACAATGTTGGGACAGGTATGGGTCAGGACTGGGACAGGGTTGGGACAACATCGCACAGAACTGGGACGGGGTTGGGACAGAACTTGGACAGGACTGGGACAGGGCTGGCACAGGGCTGGGACAGCTTGGACAGCATCACACAGAACTGGCACAGGGTTGCGACAGGGATGGGACAGGGTTGGGACAGCATCACAGAGAACTGGCACAGGCTTGGACAGGGCTGGAACTTCATGTCACACAAATGGTTCTACCTTGTTTCACTTCTTCCAAACCCCAACAAAGGGTTGTATGTTTACAAGCTACAACAATCAGGTTGATATGCCTGCTTTTACCAGGTCTTATATCAATCTTATCTTGCCACTCACCGCTTGACACCGAACTTGTTCTGGGCATACTTCACAGCCACAGCTACGCTGTTGAAGAAGCAGAAGCCCATGGCCTTGTCGCACTCAGCATGGTGGCCTGGAGGTCTGTAACAACAAACACACTGTAGGGACTCTCCCATTTGTAAGTAATGAGGCTTCAGCTTTTGTCCAAGTGTTTTACTGGGCCCAGTGTTTTACTGAACACTTCCAGTGTTGTGTTAATTGAACAAGTTATGTTATTACTGATCCCCCTATAAAGTGTTCACACCAGAGAGCGGAATGTGTAAACCTGGGCGTCTGTACTAAAACACATTAGCAGAACAAGATGTTGGCAACACCTGTGCACAACACAAAGCAATCTCTGCACAACGTCTCCTGAATAAAGGTTCATAGACAGGACATAGACAGTGTTTTTTACATGTTTTGACACTATTATTCAGTTTGATCCTGAGAACATGTTGGACAGAAAGCACATATCACTGCTTACCTTACAATTGCAACACCATTCTGTGCCTGGAACAAAGATACATCACATATAACATACCACAAACTGCAATAATCACCAGATCCTGTCACAACTAAGGTACACCACTGAGCTGAAGGCTGAAGGCTGAAGGCTGAAGGCAATCTTTCATCATGATGAGGGGTCCCTAATACAGATATGAGCACTGACCTTGCCAGACAGCACCTCTTCCCATCACCACCCTGTTCTGATATACAGATGAAGTGTCCCTAATACAGATATGTACACTGACCTTGCCAGACAGCACCTCTTCCCAATCACCACCCTGTTCTGATATACAGATGAAGGGTCCCTAATACAGATATGTACACTGACCTTGCCAGACAGCACCTCTTCCCAATCACCACCCTGTTCTGATATACAGATGAAGGGTCCCTAATACAGATATGTACACTGACCTTGCCAGACAGCACCTCTTCCCAATCACCACCCTGTTCTGATATACAGATGAAGGGTCCCTAATACAGATATGTACACTGACCTTGCCAGACAGCACCTCCCCCCACCCTGTTCTGATATACAGATGAAGGGTCCCTAATACAGATATGTACACTGACCTTGCCAGACAGCACCTCTTCCCATCACCACCCTGTTCTGATATACAGATGATGGGTCCCTAATACAGATATGTACACTGACCTTGCCATACAGCACCTTTCCCCAACCTGTTCTGATATACAGATGAAGGGTCCCTAATACAGATATGTAGACTGACCTTGCTATACAGCACCTCTCCCCACCCTGTTCTGATATACAGATGAAGTGTCCCTAATACAGATATGTAGACTGACCTTGCCATACAGCACCTCTTCCCATCACCACCCTGTTCTGATATACCCGGTACAGATGAGGGGTCCCTAATACAGATATGTAGACTGACCTTGCCAGACAGCACCGTGTCTACGACATTCAGGACGCTTCCACACGACAGCAGCGCACATCGATATGTGTCCTGAAATAGTGGGCAGAACCTTGCTACTGGTGGATAAGCCGGTCATTCTCTCTCTGTTGGGTTCTCTTCATGTTGCAGGAATATACAACATTCTATATATATACAGACATCGCATATATATGTTGGTAAACATCATCTTAGTGTTCTTAACAAATAGCATTAATACCCCACAGAATAATCAGTTAATGTCACAAGTGAAATGGGTTTTAATGTTGCATGTAGCACTATTTTACTGGATATGCATGCTATGAGATACCCCTGCCCCTATGAGATACCCCTAGCCCTATGAGATACGCCTACCCCTGTGAGATACCCCTAGCCCTTTAAGATACCCCTAGCCCTATGAGATACCCCTACCCATGAGATACCCCTAGCCCTGTGAGGTACCATACCCCAGTTTCAACATGGTTAACCCACGCAGACACATTATACAAACTATTTGCTTTAACTTGGACACATTTAAACCACCTCCATCTGAGGAATATAAGGAAGACTCTCTGTAAACATTCATGCGTGTATCTATGGCACAGTCCTTACCTTGCAGACAAATATGGAACTCATCCTCCACTTCATGACATTGTCCAGTTCCTGCTGGGTCTTGTCTGGTGTTTCTTTCATCTCAGATATGTACACCTCGCTGGAGACAGAAGACTTATACTAGTACATTACACACAGAAATTGTCTCCCCTTATACCACTAGTCCTGTATTATTGATCAAATAAACCAACTGAAAGAGGGAAGTTGCCCTGTTTGTACCTATTGCAAGGGTTGGGACAGGGTTGGGACAGGGTTGGGACAGGGTTGGGACAGGGCTGAGACAGGGTTGGGACAGGGCTGAGACGGGGTTTGGACAGGGATGAGACAGGGCTGAGACAGGGTTGGGACTGGGTTGGGACAGGGTTGGGACAGGGCTGGGACAGGGTTGAGACAGGGTTGGGACTGGGTTGGGACAGGGTTGGGACAGGGCTGAGACAGGGTTGGCACAGGGTTTGGGACTGGGCTGAGACATGGATGGGACAGGGTTGGCACAGGGCAGGGTTGGCACAGGGTTTGGGACAAGGCTGAGACATGGCTGGGACAGGGCTGGGACAGGGCTGGCACAATCAAGTATTTCAACTCCATCACATCTAAAGCATCAGCTTCGTCTGGACATCCTGGAAGAAGCTGAAGTAGGAGTTGTTACTCTGTGATACTTTGCCTGCTCCACAATCACTAACGCTGACAACCCACACCCGAAGTTGTTACATAGAGTTCACTCCAATATTTGTGGGCAGTTTATCATTAATCACCAGTGTATGCACACTGACACAGGACATGTCTTACCTATGTATTGTTCCTAACTCCTCTTCTGTTGCCAACCGTGACTGCAAAATGAGACAGAATTACTTCCCATAAACAAGAAAAAATGGTACATAATGAAACATTGAGAAAAAGGAATTTAGGTATTCCCTTGAGATATATCTGAAAAGCACAAATGAAGAAAACCGGTTTATACATGCCTTCATGCTTGTGAAGCTGCCATAAAATATCCAAGTGCCACTCAGGGATTCACCCCACAAACCTTCTGAATCAAAGTCGAACGCCTTGTCCACATGAACAAAGTGGCTCACAAAGTAAGTATGTCATCTGATGACTCAACACCCTTCTACACATTTTAATGGAGTATGGCTGATAATTAAGATGCTGAACCTTTTCTGGCTGAGAGAAACAAAGCACAATGTTGTCATTTGACTCACTAACTCTGCGTGAAACTTCCCCATACGCATGCATCTCTTGTGAACTTTCTGAACCTGTCCATTGTCATAAGAAATAAATACACCAGGCTGTCAAGTTTGTTGGTTGGTTGACTGCATATTACTGTATTTCAACCATCAGGGTCGATGCTCATGATGTCAATCACTGGATTGTGTGGTGGTGTACGACAACTTGTACTGTAACACGTCTTACCTCAACCGGCAGACATCGGCTGTACAGGCCCCACTCTATGTGCTGGTTGTAGATTCGAGAAATTCTGTCGGGCCGCTCTGGATGACCTCTACAAAAGTATTTATTTAACAGTCTTTTGATATCATAGACTCAACTTCTAATGCAAACAATACGCTGTCAGACATCACAACAACAACAACTGAACATCAATAATGTGCCTGACCGCGTCCACCACTTGAATGATATTGATGCTACCAGTACTTTGCTCCTACCCGGTCAATGGTTAATGTTCATTCTCAGCTCCCTGGGAGGCACAAAATCCAAGCTGCCTGTGCGGTGGCACTCAACGCATTATCCAACAGCCGAAGTAACTGACAGAATATAAACTGCTGTTCTCTGTAGACTGAGGGTGAAGAAATACTTTGAAATCAAGCCAGCAATATCACAGCTGTTCAACTACCTTAACTCACCAATATCACAGCTGTACAACTACCTTAACTCAGCAATATCACAGCTGTTCAACTACCTTAACTCAGCAATATCACAGCTGTTCAACTACCTTAAGTCAGCAATATCACAGCTGTTCAACTACCTTAACTCAGCAATATCACAGCTGTTCAACTACCTTAACTCAGCAATATCACAGCTGTACAACTACCTTACCTCAGCAATATCACAGCTGTTCAACTACCTTAACTCAGCAATATCACAGCTGTTCAACTACCTTAACTCAGCAATATCACAGCTGTTCAACTACCTTAACTCAGCAATATCACAGCTGTTCAACTACCTTAACTCAGCAATATCACAGCTGTTCAAATACCTTAACTCTCCAATATCACAGCTGTTCAACTACCTTAACTCTCCAATATCACTGCTGTTCAACTACCTTAACTCACCAATATCACAGCTGTTCAACTACCTTAACTCTCCAATATCACAGCTGTTCAACTACCTTAACTCTCCAATATCACAGCTGTTCAACTACCTTAACTCAGCAATATCACAGCATTTCGACTACCTTAACTCACCACAGCTTTTGAAATATCTTTAGTCAACAGCAAGGGGGACGTACCTACGACTGCAGCATTTAGTTTTACAAACTGTTTCAGGTTTGTTCAAAAGATATACTTACTTGAAACTCATATTTTTATGTGCTCTCATATCAGCATCAAACACTATGCAGGTTCTGTCAAAAGAGAAAACAATAAATAAATAAACTGGTCTTCGACCAAACATTGGTAAAATCACCTAAATATATTGACATTTCCAGTAACTTTAGTGATAACATCCTGTAACGTTAAAGATACCGTCCCAGCAGGAGATTATACCTACCATCACTGTAGGACAAACGATATTAGCCGTACAGACAACAACAGAAATGTACTAGATCAGCGAGACAAAACAGGACACTTATCTTAATGATCACTCAATAACCTCTATGGGCAGGCATGTGGTGCTTGGAACATGTTCTCACCAGGATTCCCTGCATGTATAATTGACGGTCCATGTGTATAATCAATGGTTACATTTATAATTTGATGGTTCCCACCAGTGTTCACGAATAGCGTCTGACCCTCTGACAAATCTGGCAGATTTGCCAACGATCCGATAGAAGTCTACAACCCACCGGCCCCAGTGTCTGACTGTATATTTCACAATGACTTTGACTGAAGTTGTTATGTGTGACATGTAACACTTGTTTGTAGTTTATAAATATTATGTTTGTTAATAATTTCAATGTCAATTATAAGAAATGTTAAATCTGAAATGTGTGTTTAATTTTATTCTATGGGTCCTGTGAATTTTCAGTGGGTCAGACAGACATCTGAAACTTGCAGGACCCAGTGTCCTGTTACTTTGAAACACCATTCGTGAACACTGGTTCCCATGTGTATAATCAACGGTTATGTGTATAATTCGATGGTTCCCATGTGTATCTATAAGGAAACGCTACCAACCTGTGAGGGGCAAATGTAAGGGATGTCTCTGCTATTAACGCATCTATCCTTTTATCTAGAGCGTCTGTCTCCTCTTCAGCTGAAAGTGAGACAGACACACAATCAACAAATGCTCCCAGCTAACCATTCTGTTCCACAATCCTATGGACAACCAATCTCCTGTCTTACTGCCAGATGCCTAGTGCCCTGTGTAACACTGCCATCTTGGATCCCACTGATGTGTGGCCAACATATTAGAGGCTGTATTGGTATCAGTTGTCAAGTAAACCTGGTCAAGTTATAACCTAAGATTCACTTTCTGTGAGATGCTAATGTGTTCAACATTAATACATATTTTCATACAAGTAGACTGCCCCCAATCTTGGGCTTATTACCCTTTGCGCACACATTGTACCCATATTAGGAATCGAACCCCAGTCTTCAGCGTGACAAGCGAACGCTTTAACCACTAGGCTACCATATAGTCCCTTACACTAAGTTACACTTTTAAGTATCTTAAATATCCCTGTGAAGTTCAAATGCTTGCGACCGCCTCCGTGGTGTAGTGGTTAGAGCGTCCACCCAGAGAGCAGAAGGTCGCGGGTTCGATCCCCGACCGCGTCATACCAAAAGATGTTAAAATATGGTACTTGTTGGTCCCTGCCTTGCGTTCAGCATTAATGGGTACAACAAGGACTGGTCGGCTCAGAGTCAGTATAATGTGTCTGAGTGGGGTATTCATGCTTCACTGCGGCATGGTATCTCAGTGGGCTAGCACTATAAAACCAGCTTCAGTCTAGGCTAGTACAAGCAGCCGCACATACACATACACACGTATGCATGTCATCACATGAGTGAAATATTCTCAAGCACGACGTTACACCCAATTTCACCTCACCTCAACTACTTGCCCATACACAATGACAGCATCCTATATTTCCTACATACTGCTGACAACATGAAAGTAAGGACTGACGTGCCAACATGTTAGTTACTTACAGAGTACAGGGTAGGCGTCGTCATTCTGGTAAGTGTCTGGCCGGTTCTTCTCTGTCATAAACTCCACACCAGGTCTGTAGTCAGAAACAATTATTTCTAATACTCATATACTGAAAGACTAACATAGTATTCTGAAATCTTGTAAGTTTGGAGTTTGTAGGCATATCATATAAAGTTCAACATCATACCATGTGTCAGCTGTTGTAAACAATATTTCTGTTGTTATCATGGCAGTGCACGGAATGATGGAGGAAGGCAAGTCTTCAATGTTTACCACTTTGTAATCCACCGGTATGGATATCTTTAAACCATGCATACAAATATTTGGGGGAACCCTCAATTCTTACCATTCAATATTGGCATGCTAAACTGATTCAACTCTGTAAAGTATGCCATATTGAATTACTGTGACTCCCAAACCTCTCGGAATGTTCAGCAGAGAATATTATTTCATATTAGTTTATTACAGACTCTTTGAAACTCAGGTAACAACAATTGATAGAAATACCTTTAGATACAGCTGCTGGTACATTTATGTGGTGAGTGAGTGAGTTGGAAAATTTAGCGTCACATCGGCAATATTTCAGCCATATGTTGGCCAGTACATTTATATAGCAGTTATACCACTTGCTTGAAGAAGGTATCAGTGTCTAAAAATAACATATTGGTTTATTGCGATTTCTAAAGATGCCTATCGGTTAGAACAATCGAAAAAAATACATTATCCAGACAATAAAGGTATAGTTTTTGATGGCCCGTAACAATTAAATGTTGATTATCCCGTCACTCGCCATTCTAAGTGTGCCCCTAAGTAATCGAACCATTTTTACATTCGTCACAATGTATGGCGATGTCCGCGATGCATGTCAGTTGTCATAGCCTGCGTCAAATGCATCCTACAGTAAAACTACTCCGTTTGCATCCGTTTCTTGGTTTGCTGATTTGCTTCGCGGCTAACATCACTGGTGGAAACATTACGTTTATGTTTTCCGGCCGGTTAAAATGTCTCAATTCGACTCACAAGTTTTCAGCGCGACACGGTAGCGTTCAAAATGTTTACATTCCCACAATGCAATCGTGGAATGTAAACTGACTACTTCGCTTCATCTGGATGTACTGATCTAAACTTACGTTGATAGTAGAAATGCAAGCGTTCATATTGCCCCATATGGTTTCACGTTAATGACAGATGTAATTAAAATAATTCAGAGAAGATATTTAATCCGAGCGTAAACCGTCATCAAGCTGTTTTCATTTTGTTTTTCTGGTAGCGTTACCGTCTTAACGTGAGGGGGCAGACACATCAATAGAACAGCGCAGCCAGTTAGCCCTTTGCGAGGATTCTTAATGGAGTCACCCGACACCGTCATTTGTTTTTCTGCCTTAAATTAATGCGTAATTATCCTTAGAAAGTATTAAATTTGGCATCTTAGAAAAGATGTAAAGTTAGGCTCTACCCCATGTGGTGTTTTTGTAATAGAAGTATAGTTTTGCCCCTCAGAACTATTATAACATCAAAGCGCCTTTCCGGACTACCGTCCTGGAGTGCTTTAATTATAATAGTTCAGGGGAACCGCTCTCTTTAATACTGTCGCACTATATTAAGCCGAGCACCAAGTCATAAGTCATAATAACAATAATTTAGATAATGTTGGAAGTAAAGCTGAGTACATACAGTCCCGCTGGTGCCAGACTCACCTTGGTGACAGAAGTGTTGACATCTTCAAAGGGACATAACTCTCCCACTTCTAAACTCTTCTGATGCTGGAAACAGCTCCAGTGGGGACGAAGAACTTTGATCACATTCAAAATTGTTTCTGTGGCGCTGTTGTTGTAGACAAGAAGGAATAATGATCAAGAAGTGAAAACATATGAACATCCACATGAATACTGTCAAGTGATAGAAACAACAAGAGTTACAAAGGACAATGATAAGCTTTGATTATTGCAGGGTGACTCCCACCTGTCCTGATGGTTCCGTAGTGGAAGTAGAAGAGGGCGAGGGTCATTCAGGAGTGACCTCAAAGGTCATTGCACATCCCTCTGACAGAGACTTGATACAGTATCCTCCCTGAAGATGTAAGCTTGGATATCTCTGATGCATTTCTTAATGCCTGCCATCAAGAGGCTCTCAGGACAATTATCCCGTCACTGGAAGTGGTTGTGTACCAGATGATGCCTGCCTCCAGCTCTGTCTGTGTAACAAACACAACATCTCTCTGGGAGACCTTGGTATGTCGTAAGTCATCATACAATAAATGACATCATGATACAATATTACATTTTATATAGCGGGGAACTTGTTTCTTGAGCTGAGTTAAAATTTTCAAAGGAGATGTTGAAAAATATGAGCCTTTACAGAAAAGCATTCTGATTACTGGAATTCAAATCTAAGCGTAAAAGGGCGTTTTTTTAAGTAGTGAGACTGTGCAGACTGTAATCATTCATCATATATTAATAATGTAATCTGAGCATATTGGCTGGAAATCAATTGAGAAAGTGGCTAATAAGCTTGTACAGTTCACACATAACTTACTGGTTGAACCTGGTTCCTAAATCATTGCTTACGACCTTGACCTATAGTGAGCAGGGCTGAGTCCCCTTCCCATGGTACTTACCTCCAGTACAAAACAGATTACGACCTTGACCTAAGAGTGAGCAGGGCTGAGTCCCTTCCCATGGTACTTACCTCCCAGTACAAAACGAACCACGACGCTTGACCTAGTGAGAAAGGGCTGAGTCCCCTTCCCATGGTACCTTACCTCCAGTACGACACAGACCCGACCCTTGACCTGGTGAGGCAGGGCTGGAGTCCCCAGCCCATGTTGCCACCCTCCAGTACAACACAGACTTTGACCTTGACCCCTGAGTGAGGAGAGAGGCGGAGTCCCCTTCCCATGGTGCTTACCTCCGAGGTACCAAAACAGACCTGACCTTGACCCTAGTGAGCCAGGGCTGGAGTCCCCATCCCATGTTACTTGCCTCAGTATAGGAAGTGAACCACGACCTTGACCCACAGTAGGCAGGGCTGAGTCCCACACTTCCCATAGGTACTTGCCTTACCTCCCATTCACGACACGAGACACGACCTTGACCTAGGGACCCGAGGTATGTGAAAGGCAGAATGGGGTAGGCCAGATAGGGACACTTCCATCTCACCCTGAAACAAGCAGTAATTTCTTGAAACTCATATTTTTGTGTTGCTCATATCAGCATCAAACACTCATGCAGGTTCTCGTCAAGAGAAAACAATAAATAAATAAACTGGTCTTCGACCAAACATTGGTAAAATCACCTAAATATATTGACATTTCCAGTAACTTTAGTGATAACATCCTGTAATCGTTAAAGATACAGGCCCCAGCAGGAGATTATACCTACCATCACTGTAGGACAAAACGATATTAGCCGTTGCAGACAACAACAGAAATGTACTAGATCAGCTTAGACAAAACAGGACACATATCTTAATGATCACTCAATAACAACCTCTATGGGCGGGCATGTGGTGCTTGGAACATGTTCTGACCAGGATTCCTGCATGTATAATTGACGGTCCATGTATAATCAATGGTTACATTTATAATTTGATGGTTCCCACCAGTGTTCACTGAATAGCGTCCTGACCCTCTGACAAATCTGGCAGATTTGCTTAGCGATCCGATAGAAGTCTACAACCCACCGGCCCCAGTGTCTGACTGTATATTTCACAATGACTTTGACTGAAGTTGTTATATGTGACATGTAACACTTGTTTGTAGTTTACAAATATTATGTTTGTTAATAATTTCAATGTCAATTATAAGAAATGTTAAATCTGAAATGTGTGTTTAATTTTATTCTATGGGTCCTGTGAATTTTCAGTGGGTCAGACAGTCATCTGAAACTTACAGGACCCAATGTCCTATTACTTTGAAACACCATTCGTGAACACTGGTTCCCACGCGTGTATAATCAGCGGTTATGTGTATAATCTCGATGGTTCCATGTGTATCTATAAGGAAATGTTACCAACCTGTGTGGGGCAAATGTAAGGGATGCCTCTGCTATTAATGCATCTATCCTTTTATCTAGAGCGTCTGTCTCCTCTTCAGCTGAAAGTGAGACAGACACACAATCAACAAATGCTCCCAGCTAACCATTCTGTTCCACAATCCTATGGACAATCAATCTCCTGTCTTACTGCCAGATGCCTAGTGCCCTGTGTAACACTGCCATCTTGGATCCCACTGATGTGTGGCCTACATATTAGAGGCTGTATTAGTATCAGTTGTCAAGTAAACCTGGTCAAGTTAACTGTAATAACCTAAGATTCACTTTCTGTGAGATGCTAATGTGTTCAACATTAATACATATTTTCATACAAGTAGACTGCCCCCAATCTTGGGCTTATTACCCCTTTGGGCACACATTGTACCCATATTAGGAATCGAACCCCAGTCTTCAGAGTGACAAGCGAACGCTTTAACCACTAGGCTACCATACAGTCCCTTACACTTTGAAGTATCTTAAATATCCCTGTGAAGTTCAAATACTTGTGACCACATCCGTGGTGTAGTGGTTAGAGCGTCCACACAGAGAGCGGAAGGTCGCGGGTTCGATCCCCGACCGCGTCATACCAAAAGATGTTAAAATATGGCACTTGTTGGTCCGTGCCTTGCGTTCAGCATTAATGGGTAAAACAAGGACTTGTCGGCTCGGAGTCAGTATAATGTGTCTGAGTGGGGTATTCATGCTTCACTGCGGCATGGTATCTCAGTGGGCTAGCACTATAAAACCAGCTTCAGTCTGGGCTAGTACAAGCAGCCGCACATACACATACACACGTATGCACGTAGTCATATGAGCGAAATATTCTCAAGCACGACGTTACACCCAATTTCACCTTACCTCAAATACTTGCCCATACACAATGACAGCATCCTATATTTCCTACATACTGCTGACAACATGAAAGTAAGGACTGACGTGCCAACAGGTTAGTTACTTACAGAGTACAGGGTAGGCGTCGTCATTCTGGTAAGTGTCTGGCCGGTTCTCTTCTGTCATAAACTCCACACCAGGTCTGTAGTCAGAAACAATTATTTCTAATACTTTTATCCTGAAAGACTAACATAGTATTCTGAAATCTTGTAAGTTTGGAGTTTATAGGCATATCATATAAAGTTCAACATCATACCATGTGTCAGCTGTTTTAAACACTATTTCTGTTGTTATCATGGCAGTGCACGGAATGATGGAGGGAGGCAAGTCTTCAATGTTTACCACTTTGTAATCCACCAGTATGGATATCTTTAAACCATGCATACAAATATTTGGGGGGAACCCTCAATTTTTACCATTCAATATTGGCATGCTAAACTGATTCAATTCTGTAAAGTATGCCATATTGAATTACTGTGACTCCCAAACCTCTCGGAATGTTCAGCAGAGAATATTATTTCATATTAGTGTAAGCTGGGTAAGGAATACAGAGAGTTTTTGATCTTCTATAGAGAGACTTTATTGTTCATTGTGGATGGATGAATCCATGTAACGAAAAACCTACAACAAAAGACAAGGCAGTTTGTCAGGACATGCCGAGATACATACTCTTATCAACAAATCATACTATAATTCAAATACAATAGACATGATAATTACTACTTATTGATGTTGACCAGCAAAAGTATTACATATGATCAATCAATAATATAACATCACTCTTGACTTTTTGAACAATAGATGAAATGTACATGAACTGAGGTTGATTAATTAACATGGCTGAAAATATCAGTAACATTCAAACCCATCTCTACACATGAATCTTATTACAATACAAAATATCCTATGAGACGTTGTTAAACTACGGAGAATTACAAAATGCAATTAATGGTAATAATTATAAAAATGAGGATGTACAGAACTGCCCCTTTAACTCACCCCAGGAGAACACTCCTTTCAGCAACGGTCAGTGGTCACATGATCCAGAGCTGCGGACCAACTAGTCCTAATATCAAAACAATAATTATACTTAATGCGATAATAACCAAACGTTATTATGCAGTAAAATACAATATAATTCTAACAACTGTGCATAGAAATGGCATAGTTTATGAATATAATCGAGGAGAGGTAATCAGAAAACATTTGTAAACATAAAACACTGCACTTAGGGAAGGGAGGTAACTCTTTGTGATCATCACGTAACAAAGAAAAACTTGCTTGTTTCTGACCGCATAAATGGTCATACAAAACTATTCTACAAATAACAACAATTTCAGTGAATAATTTACAATTCCTTTCGCAATTAAAATATGTTGAAACAAAGACTAGATTAATAATACTAAAAGCACATGGACTACACACAAGTTGTTGTGAATCTTGTGAGGATGACCCTCTCGCTTGTGCTTGAATGTTATGAATGAAATATTACAAAACCACGGCCTTTCTAACACCTCTAACCTATTGCTAGAACATAAAAGCAAAACACTATGAGCCAAGAGCATGTACTCACATTGAAACTGTTGTGGCTAGCAGAAGAAGCGATTGACTTGTCTGCTTGAAAACTAAGCTACATATGAGAGGTGATGGCAAATTGGAACAATAGCGGTAACTGCACTATGGGAAAAGATTTTATATCTTTTACATCAAACACCTAAAAGTTGGATAAACGTTAATGGGACATATTATTTTTAATGATAAATAGATTAGAAAGACTTATAATTACGAAAATGGTGTATTTGTTGGTGATATGTAAATTCCCTGTTTCCACTACTCGAAACTGCGAAGATAACGATGAAAACAAGTGCAAAACAAATGTATATAGAAACTCCTTTACACTCCCCTGCTAAATAGTTGACTGACTGACAACTATAGACAGTAACCACTGGCTGTGCCTTATAAAATAGTGTAATCCACACAGTGGAAAAAAAGGTATTACACAGGACAGTGCATGATTGTACTTTTGCAACACCTTGACACATGACTTATATAACAAAATAATAATTCTAACTAATGACTAGGACTAACATTGTAACACATCATGGCACATGAGAAAATACTGATATGGCACTGTTCAGAAATACTGATATGGCATTGTCCATTTGATAAGAGTTCACTTTGTCATTGAGTTTGCCAATGGCTGCAACAACAACAGTTGAGATTGGCTGATGTTGGCCAACACTGTAGGATCGATCTGTGGGATGATGTTACTTCTTGCTGCAGGGCTGACCCGCTGCAAGTTGGTGTGGATTAAGGATGTTGTCCAGCAGTCGATCTGGTGCTGTGTCGTGCCGCTGGGAGCTCCCACTTGAGTCAAGCCCCCTGCTTCAAGTGAAGCACTATTATTGTCCTCAACTGTATCAGGCATGTCAGCAACTCTGTTGTCACGACAACACCACACGATTATCATTCACAACACTGTCACTAGTAACCTGATTATCATTCCACAACACTGTCACTAGTAACCTGATTATCACAATGGTTGCTGGCGGTAGCTTAATATCAACACAATCACCAACAACACGGTAAGGTTGATTGTAGTAGAATTAGCTTCGGTTTCACAAACAGGAATCTCAGGGGTGTCTGACTGGCACATCTCATCATTGTCACAACCAAGTATGTCAGGCTCCCCTGCTGTGCATGAAGCACTTCCCACAAGATTCCATTGCTCACTAAATTGGGTGTTGGTCGCACCATGGTGAAGGTGTACACGATTCTGGCAAGAGGTTATCTTCGACATCGCCTGCTGGGACAACCTCTGGGATCGATCTGACGAATCTGGTGATTAGCGGCTTACCTCGATGAGGGTGGCTGGCTACAATTTTCAACAGGGTTCTGGAGTCCAGTAACTGTTTCCTATGGACCGACTTTTTCACCTCACCACTCCAATGGTTGAATGACATAGACGTTATTTTCTTTCCTTCCTATGACCTTGTAGGGCTCTGGACGCCATATGTCCTGAATCTTATGACGCTTCCAGAGGATGGTTCCAGAGGAAAACTCCTTGCACCAACTATCAGCTGCCTGTGGTTCGTCGTCCTGGTTGAGAGTGGAGCTCCGTTTGAGAGCAGCCTCCTCTGTCCTCTGACTGGCTTGATTGAAAGCTACCTGTAGCCTTTGGTGGTGCTCTGTAACCCAGTCATTGTCATCACTTTCCTCAACCTCACTGCCAATAACAAGATCCACAGGCATTTTAGGATCTCTCGCCAAGAACAGGTAGTATGGTGAATACTTGGTTGTAGCATGGTGTGCAGTTATATGCATACATTAGTTCAGGAAGAAGGGTAGGCCATTTCTTTTCTGAGCAGGGGGAGGTCCTGAGCATGTTGTGAAGAGTTCTGTTGGAACGCGCCACATTGGCCATTACCTTCAGGGTGGTATGGTGTGGTCCTGGTTTTCTTCACTCCGCCAGACACTGCATAACTCCTGTATGACCTTTGACTCGAAATTTCTCCTTGATCGCATGCAACGCCAAGTGAACACCCAGACGGACAAACCACTCTTTGACAAGTATCCTTGCTTACGGTCTTGGATGTCTGATCCTTTGTTGAAAAGGCTTATGTGTATTTTGTGTAGACATCCGGTCAGCACTAGTACGATTCCAGTCCATGGCTTCCTTTTCCAACACAGTGAAATCCATCGCCAATATTTTCGAGAGGTCGCTTGGCTATGATATAACCAAGGAGGGTTTAACTGAAGGTCCATGTTTACCGAGCAGGCAAAACGCTCAATAGCTTGCAGTACTCTTCAATGTCCTTGGCCATGTATGGCCAGAAACACCTCAATTTCAGAATTGGAATAGGTTCTCTCTGCACTCTGGTGGTCCACATTCATCGTGACTTGATGTTAATATTCTGGGGAGTAGTTTTTTCCGAATTACCATCTGAGAAATTGTCTTTCCATCTTCAGTCACTTTTCTGCAGAGAACAACGCTGTACAGGTCATGTTTTCCAGCCCTTGACCAGTTTTCGGGTCTTCGTATTTTCTCTGAGCAGAGTTCGCTAGAGATGGATAACGATCAAGTTTAAAATAGTGTAGAAACTTTCCGATGCTGGGATGGAGTCTGCCTGAGCTTTGCCATTTCATCGTGGTGACACTGATGGGATTCGGTGTGCTGGGGATGATCCTTCACGCATTGGAGTTGCGGATATGGTTTCCATCACTAACAACATTGAGGTCTTGCTGAATCTGTAGTTTCAGATCTATTGCAGGCAGACCACTCTGACACCGCAGGTAGTTGCTCTACATGGTTTGCATATACAGACTCTAGGCGGCTCTGTCTGCTGTATGTTCTACTTTTCTGCTCAGAGAATCAGCATTTCTGTTCTTCTTGCCTGATCGGTGCCTGATGGTGAGGTTGAACCTCGCTAACTCTCCGATCCATCTGGTTTCTGTGGCTCTTCAATTTGGCTGTGGTCTGGATGTAGCTCAGGGGATCATTGTCCGTATACACCATGCAATCTGCTCCCAGAAGAAAATCCCTGAATTTTTCTGTGACTGGCCCACTTCAATGCTACTAACTCCAACTTCATGCTTGAGTGAGTTCTCCATGTTCCTTTCACCGGTCGGAGTGATCAGCTGGCAAAACTTAAAACAACTCTCCTTGTTTCTTGGTCCTGTGATAATGACAGCTCCCAGGCCATAGTGGCTGGCGTCAACCTCCAATATGTATGGCCTTGTGAAGTCGGGATGTCCCAAGACAGTCGCGGGTAAGTCTATGCTTCAGTTCCTCAAAGGCCTTTTTTGCTACATGAACTGTCCTAAGCCTTCATACCACGCCCAGTTTCAGTCTCTTCGCTTGCCTTTCTTCCTTTTGTCCTTTCCTGTAAGGAGAGAGTGGCGGTGCTGCCACGCTTTTTGCAAATGATGGTACAAATCTTCCGTAATATCCCGCCAGACCCCAAGAAAACTCTAAGGTTTCCACAGAATTGGCCATCTGGTTACTGCTTCAATCTTCTCAGGGTCGGAGGGATACCTGTTTGAGAGAAACTAGATGTCCCAGATACCTAAGTTTCTCCTGAACAGTTGGCACTCTTTCGGTTTAACCTTCAAGTTGAATTTTGACACCCTTGTCAAAACCATGTCCAATCTTTCTAATGTCTGTTCGAATGTTGTGCCGAAAATAAGGATGTCGTCAAGGTAAATGAGAAGAGTTTGAAAGTTCTTCGTCACCAAAGATTCTGTCCATCAGACGATGAAGGTGCCTGGTGCCCCAGTCAATCCCGAATGGCATGCGGAGATATTCATATAGTCCACCTGTCCCGACTCTGAATGCCGCTCTTTCAATATCTTCCATGGCACTGCAATCTGGTTAAAGCCGCGGAGCAAGGTCCAAGCTACCAAAAGTATTTCTCGCACTCCTTTAGGACTGTCAAAGCCAGTTTATCTCTGGCAAGGATATGCATCTCACGATGTCTTCAAGTTCAGCGGCGATAGTCACAACATACTCTCAGCTTTGTTCCTTTCCTAACAAGCACCACAGGAGCAGCATAGGGACTGATGACTCCCCGATGATACCTTTCTCCAACGACTTCATGATAGTCAGCTGACCTCTTGCCATTGGGTTTGGTGGTATACGCCGGTGGGGAATCCTGACAGGTATATCATCCATAGTTGGAATCTTGTGTTCAATGGCATCACAGAATCCTATGTCGCCCTCGCCTTTGCTGAATACATCAGAGTGTTTGTTGATTAATTCCTGTAGTTTTTGTTGGCAGGAAGAAGGAAGACTCTCACTAACATCCATACGCTGTAGGAGGCTGTCAACAAGCTGTGACTTCAAGCTGTTTCCACCTGTATCTGTGGACTTGTACTTCATTGCAGCTGACCTCCCACAACATCGTAAGTTGGTTCAACTTCGCCAGGTTTAAAACTCCAACCTGTGTTCTTGGATTGAGATATATAGCCTTGTCGCTGAAATTGGCAACTTGGCACGGTACTCTCCTGTAGAGTCCACACTGACCACAGTTGGACCCAATTTAAGTCCAACTGGCAACGGAGCAGAGATTTCTCAATGATGGCAGTGTAGGACACCTTGTCGGCTGAACAGTTCCTCAAAGACCATGAGTGATCGAGCTGGGACAAGGATGGGCTTTTTACCAGAAACTCTTATCCTGAGATTTTGTTTTGTTGAGGCAGGAATTTGATCGTAGTATGCCAAAACTTGGTGAACGCGTCCTTGGGTACTTGGAGATTGTCTTGCGTTACCTTAAGTCTTATATCTCGAAGGGCATTGATCCAAGTACTCCAGGAACTTTTCTGTTTCCGTGTTCTTGTGTGCTCGTCAGTTGGATCTTTGTGGCCACCATGAACCAGATTATACCCATGTTATGTCCAAAAGCTTTAATCTCCAGAGCGAGGTATCCCAGGTAGGGTATGTCCTGTCCATTCGCGGCAGTAATGCAAATCAACCTTCCCATGTCCAATAACTCCTCTGCTGACAGGTGCTCCTTTGTAGAAGGACTTTCGGTGATTGTCACACCTGAGCTCCAGTATCAATCAGACATGTAAGGCTCATTCCATTCGCAGTAATGCTGGTGCCTCTGGGCATTTCCCTACCACTCTATACAAGAAGGACCATTTGTTAAAGCTTTCCTCGCTCCCACAGTGAGGTCCTTCACGGTGGGAATCACTGGTTTAAAGCTTGTTTGGGGGTTTCTCCGGTTCTGGGGACACCTTCTTTGGATGTGGCCTTCTTCTCCGCAGCTCCAACAGGTCCTTGGTCCTCGAGGCCTGCTGCTATTGAGCAAGCTGGCGATCTGTTCTTGTTGACGCTCAATGATGGCTCTTGTCGATTTGAGTATATCTGCCATTTGGGCTTGATGTTCCTGAGCGATACTATTGATCTTTCTTTTGAATTGGCCTCCCCTAGCCATTCAATGACACGGTCGCTGGAGAGGAGATCCAGGAAGGATAGCTCTGGATGCTCACGAAGTCAGCCTTCTGATTTCGCCTCTGGACTTCATGGTAGGCTGACTCTCGCAAGCTGTCCCTTCAGTGCCATCTCCTTCTTCATACCATGGAAAGTGCTATCAATTTCACAATCTTGTCGTACAGTTCGATTAGGTCAAGCGAGTTGTTGTTACGAAGGTCGCTACCAGCTGTCTGGCGGTAAGAATAGAAGCGGTGTTGGGCTGCTGGTAAGTCATTTCCTCTCGGCACAACACCTTCCTCAGGGTTTTGATGATCTGACACGGAGATCTTCCTGGACATCAGGTCCTCTTGCAAGGATTTCCTGGCGAGCCCGTCCACCCAAGTTGTCACATAGAAGAACCGCATAGTCCTCCTCAGACAACTTCCTTGTCTCAGCGAGACTTTCAGGTCCGAATCCACTCTTCAAGCGTGGTGTCACCAGCTCAGAGAGGCTTGTCTTTGAAGCGTGGTAGTTGGTTTCCACCAGTTGAGAGAGGACTTTAGTGGCTTGCTGGCACTAGCAGACAACGATTAGCTCCTGGTCCCGAACTTTAATGCTAAGTGCTTGTAGTTCCATGGCAAGCAATTCCATTTTCTTTAAGTTTGATCTGCCACAACAACTGCTGGTTCCTCATCTGCCATCTTGTTCTAGCCTCCTGGGGTTTTCCACAATAACTGCTCTCTGTATCCCACTTCTGACACCAAATGTAAGCTGGGTAAGGAATACAGAGAGTTTTTGATCTTCTATAGAGAGACTTTATTGTTCATTGTGGATGGATGAATCCATGTAACGAAAAACCTACAACAAAAGACAAGGCAGTTTGTCAGGACATGCCGAGATACATACTCTTATCAACAAATCATTTCAAATACAATAGACATGATAATTACTACTTATTGATGTTGACCAGCAAAGTATTACATATGATCAATCAATAATATAACATCACTCTTGACTTTTGAACAATAGATGAAATGTACATGAACTGAGGTTGATTAATTAACATGGCTGAAAATATCAGTAACATTCAAACCCATCTCTACACATGAATCTTATTACAATACAAAATATATCTATGAGACGTGTTACGCTATACGGAGAATTACAAATGCAATTAATGGTAATAATTATAAAATGAGGATGTACAGAACTGGCCCTTTTTAACTCACCCCCAGGAGAACACTCCTTTTCAGCAACGGTCAGTGGTCACATATGACTCAGGGCACGGATCAACTAGTCCTAATATCAAAACAATAATATATACTCTAGTAATGCAGCACAATAACCAAACGTTATTATGCAGTAAAATACAATATAATTCTAACAATCAGTATATAGAAATGGCATAGTTTATGAATATAATCGAGAGAGGAGGTAATCAGAAACATTTGTAAAAACAAAACACTGCACGTAGGAAGGGAGGTGCAACTCTTTGTGATCATCACGCAATAAAGAAAAACTTGCTCATTTCTGGTTCCATAATGGTCATACAAACGATATTCTACAAATAACTTAACAATTTCAGTGAATAATTTACAATTCACTCGCATTAAAATATGTTGAAACAAAGACTAGGAGTTATTAATACTAAAAGCACATGGACTACACACAAGTTGTTGTTGTGAATCTTGTGAGGATGACCCTCATGAACGTGCTTGAATGTTATGAATGAAATATTACAAAACCCGCCTTTCTAACACCTCTAACCTATTGCCAACAACATAAAAGCAAAAACACTATGAGCCAAGAGCATGTACTCACATTGAAACTGTTGTGGTTTTAGCAGAAGAAACGATTGACTTGTCTGCTTGAAAACTGCGCTTACATATGAGGTGATGGCCGCAATTGAACAATAGCGAAACGCACTATGGGAAAAGATTTTATATCTTTTTACATCAAACACCTAAAAGTTGGATAAACGTTAATGGGACATATATATTTAATGATAAATAGATTAGAAAGACTTATAATTACGAAAATGGTGTATTTGTTGGTGATATGAAATTCCTGTTTCCGACTACTTCCGGAAACTGCCGAAGATAACGACGTGAAAACAAGGGCAAAACAAATGTATATAGAAACTCCTTTACATTAGTTTATTACAGACTCTTTGAAACTCAGGTAACAACAATTGATAGAAATAGATACAGCTGCTGGTACATTTATGTGAGTGAGTGAGCGAGTTAAAATTTAACGTCACATCGGCAATATTTCAGCCATATCGTGACGAGGTACATTTATGTAGCTGTTACTTGAAGAAGGTATCAGTGTCTAAAATAACATATTGGTTTATTGCGATGTCATAATAATAATAATTTAGATAATGTTGGAAGTAAAGCTGAGCACATGCAGTCCCGCTAGTGCCAGACTCACCTTGGTGGCAAAGTGTTGACATCTTCAAAGGGACATAACTCTCCCACTTCTAAACTCTTCTGATACTGGAAACAGCTCCAGTGGGGACGAAGAACTTTGATCACATTCAAAATTGTTTCTGTGACGCTGTTGTTGTAGACAGAAGGAATAATGATCAAGTGAAAACATATGAACATCACATGAATACTGTCAAGTGATAGAAACAACAGAGTTACAAGGACAATGATAAACTTTGATTATTGCAGGGTGACTCATACCTGTCTGATGGTTCCCGTAGTGGAGGTAGAAGAGGGCAGGGGTCATTCAGGAGGGACCTCAAGGTCATTGCACATCCCTCTGACAGAGACTTGATACAGTATCCTCCCTGAAGATGTAAACTTGGATATCTCTGATACATTTCTTAATGCCTGCCATCAAGAGGCTCTCAGGACAATTATCCCGTCACAAATTAGTTGTGTACCAGATGATGCCTGCCTCCAGCTCTATCTGTGTGTAACAAACACAACATCTCTCTGGGAGACCTTGGTATGTCATGGCGTCATCATACAATAAATGACATCATGATACAATATTACATTTTATATAGCGAGGGAACTTATTTCTTGAGCTGAGTTAAAATTTTCAAGGAGATGTTGAAAAAATATGACACTTTTACAGAAAAGCATTCTGATTACTGGAATTCAAATCTAGCGTAAGGACGTTTTTTAAGTAGTGAGACTGTGTAGACTGTAATCATTCATCATATATTAATAATGTAATCTGAGCATATTGGCTGGAAATCAATTGAAAGTGGCTAATAGCTTGTACAGTTCACACATAACTTACTGATTGAACCTAGTTTCTTAACTCATTGCTTACACGACCTTGACCTATAGTGAGCAGGGCTGAGTCCCCCTTCCCATGGTACTTACCTCCAGTACAAAACAGACACGACCTTGACCTAGTGAGCAGGGCTGAGTCCCCCTTCCCATGGTACTTACCTCCAGTACAAAACAGACACGACCTTGACCTAGTGAGAAGGGCTGAGTCCCCCTTCCCATGGTACTTACCTCCAGTACGACACAGACACGACCTTGACCTAGTGAGCAGGGCTGAGTCCCCCTTCCCATGGTACTTACCTCCAGTACAACACAGACACGACCTTGACCTGAGTGAGCAGGGCTGAGTCCCCCTTCCCATGTTACTTACCTCCAGTACAAAACAGACACGACCTTGACCTAGTGAGCAGGGCTGAGTCCCCCATCCCATGTTACTTACCTCCAGTACAAAACAGACACGACCTTGACCTAGTGAGCAGGGCTGAGTCCCCCTTGACCTCCAGGGACACGACCTTGACCTAGGGACCCGAGCATGTGAACAAAATGGGCGTAGGCTGATGGGGACACTTCCATCTCACCCTGAAACAAGCAGTAATTTCTCAACACACCAGAAACAATTATACATTTTCATTGTGACAGAATTATCAAATTCAGAATACAGAATTATTCACACAGAAGACTTGTTTGTTTGCTTCATAAAGCCACATTATTCTCTGCTATCTGGTGAGAAGTAAGTGAGAGAGGTCTGTAAATACTCAAGTCTAGACCATATAATCCAGTGACATGTCGTTGGGTGCGCCTATCAACAATCAAAATAGATACCTCTTACAACAAGAATAAACTGCAGGGGCCATTTTACCTGGGAATTAAAATAGGACTTATAATTGAGGTGGTTCAAACTAATTGCAATATATATACTAAGTTATCATATTTTCAACTTCCATGCCTACACTGTCATCATCCCTGAGAGCTAACTGGTGTTTGTACAACTACTGCATTGCAGAACATGTTATGAAACTGACGTGCAAATCATCCTACCAGGCTGAGACAGGATCTGAGTCACAAGCAGGCTTCACTTGAGAGTTGGAGTAAAGATGGTGTATGGCGCATTCAAGAATATTCAGGTTATATAGGAATGTGCGCACTCATACATTTGCAGAAGAAAATACACTGCATCTATGTGATGTGTGAAGAAAGCTCGGGGCCAACATGCAAACACTGACAACCACTGTAAGCTCTAACACATACCGCTATCTGCTCTGCCACTACCCCTGTCTTCTCTAAACTCAACTCAACTGGGCAAGGTATTGCCTCATTTTGTACTCATTTAAGTTGATGATTGAGTAACTTGATTAATTACACATCTTGTCAGTGGGAATCTGTCGTCAGTACAGTTTTCTCATTAATTAATTATCAGGAAATTGTGAAAATATATATTACTGAAATCAAAATGCGTAATAAATCCATCTATCCATGGTAATATCTGTGAATTATTGACTAATTTTAAATAGTCTGGCCTTCCTTGAATTTTGGTTGTATTTATGGATGTATACATGTAATGACATATTGAAGTTAATTTTTATGGATAACTGTCACCAATATATACCAACCACATGCATGGAAAGTAAGGCAACAGAAACACAGAGTTCATGTCAGATCAATCCATAAGATTTACAATCAACAAATACTTCATTTCAGTTAACTGCATACACGATTATTCAAAGGCTTATGATGGGCTCAACTTGCTTCTTGACTCCGGCTGCTAAATGTTTGAAATTCAGCAAGCAATAATTTCTACACCTTTCTCAAAATAAATTTATAATACACATAATTTTATCTTTATTTTATAGACAAACATAACAAAACACAAGAGAATATGACTGCCACAAAAACTATTTAAAAATAAGAATACAGTTACTGTAGCGTGCAGTGTTCAACATGTGAACAATTCACACTGGTTATGTTATATCTTTCAGAAACATACATCCATAGGTATATTATAACTGGTAAACATCAGTGGACTGCATCATTCAATGACTACACCACAGTTCAATGTAATGTGAAACTAACTCGCTCAACTCACTCACTCACTTGCCACCCATGGTAAGAAGCCAGTATGGTTGCTGTAATATGGTAGCTACGTACTGCTCAACCGTTTGACATTAAGTCACTAATCAATCACTACCAATGGTCACTCCTTTCTCGTAGATTGATGATTTTGAAATGAACAATTTCTGTCATTGATGAAGTGATGAATATTGCTGAAAATTGTAAACACTCTTGTCGCGAACATTTGTTCTCTGACCACTTATCTGAAAGTTCACCAAATATTTGACACGGTAAAGATGGAGTCTGCATCACAAGGAGCCAAGGCTACTGCTTCCGCTACAACTAAACAGCAGCAGCAGTAACAGCAAACTCAACCCCTTCCTGTTGACAGGTCCATTACTTCTAACAATGTCAGTATAAGCTGAGCAGTATGTAGCGACAATATCACAGCTACGAGTGTTGCTAGTGTTACCTTCTGGTCCCCTAATGCTGCATCAAATCCATTTGATATTATAACCAACTGAGGTCGGAACTGAGCAAAAGAGAAATCAGAGAGTAAGTCAGACTACACAGCTAAACCTGGAAAAACCAGAACCTGGATAAACCAGAGCCTGGACAAACTGGAACCTGTTGATTCAGAGGGGCAGAAAAATCTGGTGGCCCAGGTTCTGGTTATCGCAGGTTCACTGTATCAAGGTGTTACAACTATACAATATACATGCCAGGTAGGTACCTCGGGGCATCCCAGTGCTGCATCGTAACCGCTGGACACCAGAACAAGCTGGGGTCTGTACTGAAAAGGTGATGTTGCACTTATGTAGGGATCTTGTCAGTGAATAGTGTGATAATAATACTTATTGTCAGGTTACAAGACTGTACATTTGTCTGGTGTGTTGAGCTGTATGTGGCTATATTCCAGAAGCCATATGAAAGTTGCTAACAAATAACCGAAACCAGACAATTCAGTGATCGATATTATGAGCAACTCTCCTGCCAAGAGTGTATCATGACACACAGAAATCCACGTCTCCAGCTCAGAATCACCATGGAGGTCAACTAGCCTCACTATTGGTTCCCAATTGCGCAGATCGATGCTCATACTGTTGATCACTGGATTGTCTGGTCCAGGCTCTATTATTTACAGACCGCCGCCATATAGCTGGAATATTGCTGAGTGCGGCGTAAAACTAAACTCACTCACTCACTAGCCGCACTGCCTAATGTCTGGAACTCGCATACCTAGACTGTTCTTGTGTTCCTGACGTTCTGTTGTATATATATCATTACTGCAGAGCTACAACTGAAGCTTTGAACTGATGTGAAAGTTACAGCAATCGAAGGACAGCTGTGTGGACTGAGACATGAAGCACTCTTTGGCTGATTTTACTCTGCTGCAGCCTTCAATGTTCCAGCTATATCACAACATCATGTTTATCATCTGGGCCAGGAAGACCAGTGGTCCATACACAGTCCACACTGTCTGACCACCTAAACACTTTAATTAAGTTACTAGAAACACCGCCAGCGTATGTAACTATGGACACGCACCAGCGGCCAGCAGACGTTACATGGGAACATAGACAAGCACAAATTAATCGCCACACAGGATCCGGAAACATTGTAGAAACATTACAACAGAGGAATATGTATTCCTGGTTCCAAGAGTAAGTCTGGCGTGAAGTATTGTATTATTCTATAAGAAGAGAAAATGTAATTGCGACTTGCTAATGAAGATTGTGACTTAATTCATTGGTTAGATCCTGAGCTTCAGGCTGAATTCAAAACTTGCTGGTCGAGTTACCCAGCATTTAGAGGAGAGTTTCCAAGTTACATGAATATGTGTAGTTGTTCGGTACAAGTCAATACTTACCTCATAAGCTACTGGCATGAGGATCTGTTGGAGTACTGCAAAGTAGTCACTGTCTGTCATCCCAATCTGAAATATGAATCAGTACTACAGAGAACAATGTATCATTATCTCATCTTCAGTATCTTGCATCTCTGTTGACCTTTTAAAGAGGCATCATTGTACATCATTTCTCGCCTGTTACCTCCTTTAGTTGCAAGACAATGAGGTTCCCTTTATGAGTCATTAAGACAACACCTAATGTTACCTTGTTGAGGTGGCAAGACAATAATGTTACCTTGTTGAGGTGGTAAGACAACAATGTTACCTTGTTGAGGTGGTAAGACAACAATGTTACCTTGTTGAGGTGGTAAGACAACAATGTTACCTTGTTGAAAGACAACAATGTTACCTTGTTGAGGTGGTGGCGACAGTGTTAAGACAGTGTTAAGGTGGACAACAATGTTACCTTGTTGAGGTGGTAAGACAACAATGTTACCTTGTTGAGGTAAGACAACAATGTTACCTTGTTGAGGTGGCAAGACAACAATGTTACCTTGTTGTGGTGGCAAGACAACAATGTTACCTTGTTGAGGTGGTAAGACAACAATGTTACCTTGTTGAGGTGGTAAGACAACAATGTTACCTTGTTTGGTGGTAAAGACAACAATGTTACCTTGTTGACTTTCCTTTGTTGAGTAGTGGCAAGGGTGGTAAGACAACAATGTTACAACAATGTTACCTTGTTGAGGTGGTAAGACAACAATGTTACCTTGTTGAGGTGGCAAGACAACAATGTTACCTTGTTGAGGTGGTAAGACAACAATGTTACCTTGTTGAGGTGGTAAGACAACAATGTTACCTTGTTGAGGTGGTAAGACAACAATGTTACCTTGTTGAGGTGGTAAGACAACAATGTTACCTTGTTGAGGTGGTAAGACAACAATGACAATAATCTTACCTTGTTGAGGTGGCAAGACAACAATGTTACCTTGTTGAGGTGGTAAGACAACAATGTTACCTTGTTGAGGTGGCAAGACAACAATGTTACCTTGTTGAGGTGGTAAGACAACAATGTTACCTTGTTGAGGTGGCAAGACAACAATGTTAAAGACAACAATGTTACCTTGTTGAGGTGGTAAGACAACAATGTTACCTTGTTGAGGTGGCAAGAGACGACAATGTTACCTTGTTGAGGTGGTAAGACAACAGTACCTTGTTTACCTTGTTACCTTGTTGAGGTGGTAAGACAACAGTATTACCTTGTTGAGGTGGTAAGACGACAGTGTTACCTTGTTGAGTCAGTAAGACAACAATGTTACCTTGTTGAGGTGGTAAGACAACAATGTTCCCTTGTTGAGGTAATACATGATAACAAGGTTACCTTGTTGAGGTGGTAAGACAACAATGTTACCTTGTTGAGTGGCACGTTGATGTTGAAGCCTTTGCCTTTTCCCTTGCCGATGAAGTCATAATCAGATTCTCGAAGGTTCGGCCAGTAAATCCCATTTTCATATCGGTGTATTGAGAAGTACAACACCCTGTAAGAGAGTCAAAATGTCAAGCACCCTAGTTTAAATGTATGAAATGTGCAAGTTAGGTTTGGCACATCACGACACTTGATTTCACATAGTCAAAACCTAAAATTTGTGTCTCGATTATACAATGGGTTCTACAAAAGGTGGTGAAGGAGAAAGATTATCCTACAAAACATTGTGTTCATCATAATAAAATAGTCGACATACACAAAATGTCCCTGTATCACTTCCAAATGCCATATCTTGTTTGAAGTCACCAGTTTGTAGAACTAAGACATCTGCTTCTGTCTGACCTACCTGGGGTCGTCGTAGAAGGCGTACTGCGTGCCCTGCCCATGGTGGACATCCCAGTCGACAATCAGGATCCTACAACACACAGACAACACCACAGCAATGCCCACCTCCAGCCATGGCAGAGATTAGTAACCCCCCAAACGTAATACACAAAAGTTAACATTAAAGTCCACATAGAAAGTAATGACTGGGGGACACTAAATTGAAGATATAAGTATTGTGGTCTCGGTTAACATTGGTGTCTTCTCTGATTTTGTGAAGGGTACAATAAAATGTTACTAGAATTAGTAGTTCTATCTTTAAACAAAACTAGCAAATCCACTTTACATTCGTGAGCTATTTAAGTTGCCTGTTCATGGTCGGCTGGTGGACCAGCTGGCCTACTCATACGTTCACCCACCCACTGACCTACAGTTTGTTCACTCACTCACCTGTCCAGGTTGAAGACCTCCAGTGCATGTTTGGCGGCTATGGCCACATTGTTGAAAATCGAGTACCCACAGAACTCATTGTGCATAGAATGGTGTCCTGGAGGCCTGGAATAACACAGGGCAACAACCACTTATATCCTTTGTTACAACGATCACTTACAACCTAGGCAACCACAGGCATTAATAAGCTAGGCTTCACCAACAACTTAAAACATAAGAACAACAATTTATACCTTCAGTATTAACCATTTTAACCTTGGCTATAACAACCACCTATACTCTTAAATCTGAGCTACAACAACCAGTTATACCCTAAACATTTACATCTTAAATCTGGGCTACAACTATCAGTTATACCCTAGCCATTGACATCTTAAATCTGGGCTACAACCACCAGTTATACCCTAGCCATTTACATCTTAAATCTGGGCTACAACCACCAGTTATACCCTAAACATTAACATCCTAAATCTGGGCTACAACAACCAGTTATATCCTAGCCATTAACATCTCTAATCTGAGCTACAACCACCAGTTACACCCCAGCCATTTACATCTTAAATCTAGGCTACAACAACCAGTTATACCCTAGCATTTACATCTTAAATCTGGGCTACAACCACCAGTTAAACACTAGCCATTTACATCTTTAATCTGGGCTACATCCACCTGTTATACCCTAGCCATTAACATCTTAAATCTGAGCTACAACAACCAGTTATACACTAGCCATTAACATCTCTAATCTGGGCTACAACCACCAGTTATACCCTAGCCATTAACATCTTTAGTCTCGGCTACAACCACCAGTTATACCCTAGCCATTTACATCTTAAATCTGGGCTACAACAACCAGTTATACCCTAGCCATTGACATCTTAAATCTGGGCTACAACCACCAGTTATACCCTAGCCATTAACATCTTTAATCTGGGCTACAACCACCAGTTATACCCTAGCCATTAACATCTTTAATCTGGGCTACAACCACCAGTTATACCCTAGCCATTAACATCTTTAATCTGAGCTACAACCACCAGTTATACCCTAGCCATTTACATCTTAAATCTGGGCTACAACCACCAGTTATACCCTAGCCATTAACATCTTTAATCTGGGCTACAACCACCAGTTATACCCTAGCCATTAACATCTTTAATCTGGGCTACAACAACCAGTTATACCCTAGCCATTAACATCTTTAATCTGTGCTACAACAACCAGTTATACCCTAGCCATTTACATCTTAAATCTGTGCTAAATAACCTGTTATACCCTAGCCATTTACATCTTAAATCTAGGCTACAACAACCAGTTATACCCTAGCCATTTACATCTCTAATCTAGTGCTAAAAACCAGTTATACCCTAGCCATTTACATCTCTAATCTAGGCTAAAGCAACCAGTTATACCCTAGCCATTTACATCTTTAATCAAGGCTACAACAACCAGTTATACCCTAGCCATTAACATCTTTAATCTAGGCAACAACCAGTTATACCCTAGGCATTAACATCTTTAATCTAGGCTACAACCACCAGTTATACCCTAGCCATTAACATCTTTAATCTAGGCTACAACCACCAGTTATACCCTAGCCATTAACATCTTAAATCTAGGCTACAACCACCAGTTATAAACTAGCCATTAACATCTTTAATCTAGGCTACAACAACCAGTTATACCCTAGCCATTAACATCTCTAATCTGTGCTACAACCACCAGTTATACCCTAGCCATTGACATCTCTAATCTAGGCTACAACCACCAGTTATACCCTAGCCATTAACATCTCTAATCTAGGCTACAATCACCAGTTATACCCTAGCCATTTACATCTCTAATCTAGGCTACAACCACCAGTTATACCCTAGCCATTAACATCTTTAATCTAGGCTACAACAACCAGTTATACCCTAGCCATTAACATCTCTAATCTAGGCTACAACCACCAGTTATACCCTAGCCATTAACATCTTTAATCTAGGCTACAACCACCAGTTATACCCTAGCCATTAACATCTGTAATCTAGGCTACAACCACCAGTTATACCCAGCCTCCAACTATTGACATCTCTAATCTAGGCTACAACCACCAGTTATACCCTAGCCATTAACATCTGTAATCTAGGCTACAACCACCAGTTATACCCCAGCTATTAACATCTGTAATCAGGGCTAAAACATCAATGTACAACCACATCTAGTAAACTATTCAAGACCACATGTGTCCTATCAACCTGTGAATAAAAGAAGCTAATTATATGAACAAAGTTGTTAAACATCTGTCTACACCTACAAGGTAATATATGCCATGCAATATATGTTCTAGGACATGGAAAGTGTTTCCGCTATGGATCTGCAGGCTACACATGGTTTACACTCCTGTGAATGTATTGTGTTCTTATAATGATCACATTTATATGAATACGAAATCTGGAACCAGATGTGAAACGATGACGGAAAACTGGATTTCTGCCTTGGTACTGATCAAACCAAAGAGAAAAAGACAACACTGAAATATTTCCAGATTTGAAGTGATAAATCAAAATGAAACCTACCTTATGAGGGCAAATCCATTACGAACCTGTGGACAGAATGTTGTTGACAGTGAACAGTGTGTATATACTCTCATGAGCAATTGGGCTATAATTATGATTACACATCTGTGATTCAAACTCACACCCTCAGAGTCAGGCATCTAATCGCCATTGGGCCATAATGTCTCTTATAATTAGGTGAGCAACTATCTTAATTCTCTTAATACTTGGGTCAGCAATGGCCTAACATTCTCTTATGCTCTTATAGTTTGTCTCACAGCCTCTGAACCATATCATTTTCCTTTCCTCTAAGTCCTCTCTTTTACACAAAAGCTCTAAATGAAGCAGCTCTTGATTGATCTCATAATATGTTTCTAGAGACTAGTCTACCAGGTGAACAGTATGCAATAATTCTCATATGATACTGAATAACATTACAGGTGTTAAAACATTCAGTTATCATCCTTTTCCATTGCCAATACCTCAATAAGTCCTATCCCTACATCAGTACAGGAGTTATCTTGCTTGTAAGGGCAAGTTATTGGAGTCCATTTTCAGTGTCGTGCCATTTATATGAGGTTAATGAAATGTTAGCAATTGATCTCCTGTATTTATGAGTTAAGATATAACACACTGGATGACAGAAGAAAGCGTATTTCAACGTATTTCAGTCCACTTACTTTTTCCTGAATGATGTGTTCCATTGTTTCCAGAGTACAGCCGATTGCAGCCAGGGCACACTCAAAGGAAGCCTGTAACCAACGGCAGCAACATCAACACACAGAATCATCCCAACAGATAACATCCTGGCTAGCTATTCTCGAAACATTCGTAGCCCTACGAACTTCTTAAGCCCATTCTTAAAACATTGGCTACGATCAAAGTTAAGAATTCTTAGGGCTAAGAATGTTTCGAGAATAAGGGCTCTGGTAGTCTCGACCGTAACTTCACTCACGTTATTGCAGTAGAAGGAATCGTATTTGGTGAAGAAATCCTGCAGTTCCTCCAGAGTCATGTTGGCTGTGGCCTTGGCCTTTTCCACCAGCTCCTCCCGAGTGTTGCAGAGTTACGAGGTCCTCCGTCGCATACCGCATCTGTCAGCAAGTTTGGGTTGTCTTTGATTACAGTGACAATATTACAAAGACACCTACCTACCTGCAAACAATCTTGTCTGACAAACCTGCTTAATGAGTGGACGATACTGCCCCATGCTATGTCTCATGACGGAAGTGAACAAACCTTATCAATCTGTTAAGTTACCTCTTACAACCAACAACAATGTACTGTGGTTTCTGGGATATACATGGCAACCCGATTCTTTTGATGCAATTTTCAGATACACTTGATGTAAGTTAACGTCACTGTGAATCATTTTTCAGTGATATCACACCCTGTCAGTTTCCCTGCTTTCAGTGATATCACACCCTGTCAGTTTCCCTGTTTTTAGTGATATCACAACGTCAGTTTCCCTGTTTTCAGTGATATAGAATCCTGTCAGTTTCCCTGTTTTCAGTGATATCACACCCTGTCAGTTTCCCTGTTTTCAGTGATATCATGCCCTGCCAGTTTCCCTGTTTTCAGTGATATCACACCCTGTCAGTTTCCCTGTTTTCAGTGATATCATGCCCTGCCAGTTTCCCTGTTTTCAGTGATATCACACCCTGTCAGTGATATCACACCCAGTTTCCCTGTTTTCAGTGATTCACACCCTGTCAGTTTCCCTGTTTTCAGTGATATCATGCCCTGTCCTGTCAGTTATCACCCCTCAGTTTCCCTGTTTTCAGTGATATCACACCCTGTCAGTTTCCCTGTGATATTTCATTGCCCTGTCAGTTTCCCTGTTTTCAGTGATATCACACCCTGCCCTGATATCACACCCTGTCAGTTTCCCAGTTTTGATAACATGCCCCAGTTTCCTGTTTTCAGTGATATCACACCCTGTCAGTTTCCCTGTTTTAAGTGATATCACACCCTGTCAGTTTCCCTGTTTTCAGTGATAACATGCCCTGTCAGTTTCCCTGTTTCCAGTGATATCATGCCGTCAGTTTCCCTGTTTTCAGTGATATCACACCCTGTCAGTTTCAGTGATTCACTGTTTTCAGTGATATCACACCCTGTCAGTTTCCCTGTTTTCAGTGATATCACACCCAGTCGGTTTCCCTCTTATCATAGCTCAGAGAATATGTGGAAATCCCAAACCATTAACAGCAGATCAGGGAGAATCAAGGGACACAACTCTGCACAAACATGCTGTCAGAGACTACTGGACCAGCTACACTCTGGACAATAGGAGTCCAGGCATTATGGCAAGAAAGTTCACCTGCAGGCGCTTGCACCTGTCCACCAGCCCCAGCTCACAACACCTGGCGTAGGGCTGCGTTATCCGGGCGGGATTCTCAGGGTAGCCTGGGATCCAATCACATTTGTGCTTAGTCATCACTTCATCATAGATGAAAGCCGTGCTGAAGGAGAATATTGAGTTAGTTGGAAGTGCAGACACCTGATTCATACATACATACATACTAACATTTGTATAGCGCCGATATCCAGCTCAGCTGCTCAAAGGTGCTTTGTTTTTCCCTCAATCACTGGATGTCAATCTCAACGGCATGTCGTATTATCAATCTCAACTCCCTTAGGAGTATACAACTCTTGCAGCCACTAGGCACCGAGTTAGGGTGGCTTTCCCATCTGTATGAGGTACCCATTGACAGCTGGGTAAACTGGGACACATAGTCACAGTACTTTGTCCATGTTTACTGCATGTTGCTGTACCCGCAACAAGGTGTTTGTACGTATTCATGTGGCCACCATCTGGTCATATACCTCAACGGACCGTGGTTGTTTTAAGTGCACAGGGTTGTGTACTGTACACTAGGGGTTGTGACAACACTGAAAGAGTCTGCACACAAAGTTGACTCCAAGGTTTTAACACCCGGTCACAGGTGGGCTCGATCCCATCACCTCAAGCTTGCTGGATCACTAGCCTGGCGCTTTAGACAGTTCGCCCAGCACGCCCCCATACAGGTGTGCATTGTGTGAAGAACCTACTAGTTCAGGAATTCACGTTATATATTACAGAGTGAGTCAGTCCTAGTGTCAATATATGTTTACTTAAGTGTCACCAGCATATATTGTACAAACATATATAAAAGGGTTTTTTAAAGATCTATATTTAGGTTAGGTTGAGTTGCTACAGCGTTGCAGCAAAAAAATGGGTTTCTAAAATGTTAATTTACATATAAAACAACAACTAAACAGATACTTTACTAACTGTGTAGCATTCACATATATCGGTCACACTGTGCAATGTCTGTACTGACTTACCCGTTTACAGATTTGGGCTTCCCTTCGTCGTCATCTTTCTGGAAACATCATCATGATAATAAAATCAAATACGCTGTTATGGATGAAAGACAGGAAATCTGTATTCACTGTATCATATTTCAACTACAAAGGCAAAACCTTATTGCCCCAGTAGGATTCTTATGAAAACTACAGTCTAACAAAAATGTAAACTTGTCACAAACCATGGATCAGTCTTGGCAATTCAACTTCACAAATTTACCCTGTAGTATCTCAAGGGACAAGTAACTTGTCAAAAGGGCATTAGTAAGAGTGCTATTCTGACAGAAAGAAAAACAGACACTCACAGTGCTATCCAGAGACTCTCACAGTGCTATCCAAACAGACAGACACTCACCGTGCTACACAGCCCCATTAGCATGGCCAAGTCCTCATCGTCGCTCTCCCTGGCCCGATCTGCATCTTGATTCTGAAATTAACATTTAACACTGCGTTTTATAATAATGTTTTTGATATAAGGATAAGCAATAATATAGCAAACAATATGTACGAGAAGTTTCTACAAAAATGAACATTAATAACAAATATATACCTGAGAATTCCAGGTGATTTCAATCATAGAGACAATGAGACATTGACCAGTAGAACTAGTATCTATTCATGACAAGTCCGGGAAACATGTGACCAAGTGGACAATGCTGTCCTTGTTTGCATTTACATTTAATTCTTATTACAGTTTCTCTAGTTTTATTCTTTCATTCTCTGTTAGACAACAAAGTCATATTCAGAAAAGTTTCATTTATAAAACCTGAAAGTTTCTATCTGGTAGCCTTTCAAACCTGTGTGTCAAACTATCATCTATCCTGAGTCTATGGTTAATAATGATTACTATTCTAAAGAATTTCATAAAATGAGAGCTGTTTACATTGTTTCTCTATTTTCTCTCAATGTACCTGAAGAATGTTATCAATACAAACCTGTCCCTGACAGTAAGTTCAGCAGAATCCTTTAGAGAGGAATGCGGACATGACCGATTTCCTGCCTACCTGTTAAGCCTTTGATGGTGTACACACACCATTACATTCAGACGTTGCTAGGGTTACCCGGCTATCAACTTGTTTCAACAGTCAATATCAGCTACCTCTATGGCTGACTTTGATACTGTAAATATCTATCCAGTACTAGTCACATAAACTGAAACAAACACGCTTTGAAATGTGTCTATCATAAAATATGTATGTCAAGAATAGATGACACTAAATCAAACACCCAACACACCTAGGGTATTGAACAACAAAAACGTGAAATAAATGTTCTCTCTGATTACATGAAAGTTCCCATTTTCAGATGTCAAGCCCAACAACCTCATCACCTTGACTGGCCTGTTGGTGGCCACCTCTGCTGCACCTCTGCTGCAGGGTACTCATCACCTTGACTGGCCTGTTGGTGGCCACCTCTGCTGCAGGGTAGAGAGTCAAGGCTCTGTAGCTCACTCGCCTCACATGTTGCTAGTAGATACAAGCGACATTAACTGTCCTAGCAAGCACAAGCCTAAACTGTAAGACTAGTTTTCCAAATGTTACCAATAACAAAATTAAAAACGAATGTGCTCATTTTGTTCAAATATAATAAAGAAATAAAAGAAAGGTTTTTTTCAGAACAAACGATTTCCACAATCATCCAGTGTAAATTCCCATATTATAAGGACATGCTTGTAGACCTATGATACCAAGTGGAAGAGTTGAGTGTCTCCTGCCCCACTGGTGGAACCTGTCACATACACTGGCACAGTCAATCGCTCACTTTAAATTGTTTCATGAAACTAATTCCAGTAGCCCTAGCATGGCATTTAAAAGCTAAACTAAACAGAAACTGGACATGGAGGAATCTTTGACCACATCAAGGAGCCTGGCCACCCTGCCTCTTACAACAGGTAGACCTTGATAAGGGCCAACTCTGACCTGCATCTCTGGATGGGGATTCTGTTGTGGTTAAGTATTCTTCCAATTCTTACCTCCTCCTGCTGATCCATGTTTAAAACCAGTAGCTAGCCGAGGCTGGGAACGTCTGTCTATGCAGCCATTGTCAACACATGAACTGAAAGTAAATCAATTACAGTGAATAATGGGAAACATTACTCTCACTCAGTAACATGGGTGACAGGTAACTGGGAAACATGTATTGGTGATCTCAGTAACATGGGTAACAGGTAACTCCCCAACCAATACATGTATTGGTGATCTCAGTAACATGGGTAACAGGTAACTCCCCAACCAATACATGTATTGGTGATCTCAGTAACATGGGTAACAGGTAACTCCCCAACCAAGATATGTATTGGTGATCTCAGTAACATGGGTAACAGGTAACTCCCCAACCAATGGGTAACAGGTAACTCCCCAACCACCTATATGTATTGGTGATCTCAGTAACATGGGTAACAGGTAACTCCCCAACCAAGATATGTATTGGTGATCTCAGTAACATGGGTGATCATGTATTGGTGATCAGTAACATGGGTAACAGGTAACTCCCCAACCAATACATGTATTGGTGATCTCAGTAACATGGGTAACAGGTAACTCCCCAACCAATACATGTATTGGTGATCTCAGTAACATGGGTAACAGGTAACTCCCCAACCAATACATGTATTGGTGATCTATGTATTGGTGATCTCAGTCACAGGTAACTCCCCAAACATGGGTAACAGGTAACTAACTCCCCAACCAAGATATGTATTGGTGATCTCAGTAACATGGGTAACAGGTAACTCCCCAACCAAGATATGTATTGGTGATCTCAGTAACATGGGTAACAGGTAACTCCCCAACCAAGATATGTATTGGTGATCTCAGTAACATGGGTAACAGGTAACTCCCCAACCAATACATGTATTGGTGATCTCAGTAACATGGGTAACAGGTAACTCCCCAACCAATATATGTATTGGTGATCTAACTCCCCAATAATACATGTATTGGTGATCTCAGTCAACATGGATAACAGGTAACTCCCAACCAGGATGTATGTGGTGATCTCAGTGGTAACAATAACCAATGCTACCCGCAGTAACATGTAACATGGACAGGTAACTCCCCAACCAATACATATGTATTGGTGATCTCAGTAACATGGGTAACAGGTAACTCCCCAACCAATATATGTATTGGTGATCTCAGTAACATGGGTAACAGGTAACTCCCCAACCAATGTATTGGTAACATGGGTTGGTGATCTCAGTAACATGGAGGAATGAAGCATTACATCCTATTCCCCAATAAGGAATGAAGCATTACATCCTATTCCCCAATAAGGAATGAAGCATTACACATCCCTATTACATCCTATTCCCCAATAAGGAATGAAGCATTACATCCTATTCCCCAATAAGGAATGTAGCATTACATCCTATTACATCCCAATAAGGAATGAAGCATTACATCCTATTCCCCAATGAAGCATTACATCCTATTCCCCAATGATATGAGCATTACATCCTATTCCTAAATAAGGAATGAAGCATTACATCCTATTCCTAAATAAGGAATGTAGCATTACATCCTATTCCCCAATAAGGAATGAAGCATTACATCCTATTCCCCAATAAGGAATGTAGCATTACATCCTATTCCCCAATAAGGAATGAAGCATTACATCCTATTCCTAAATAAGGAATGAAGCATTACATCCTATTCCCCAATAAGGAATGAAGCATTACATCCTATTCCCCAATAAGGAATGAAGCATTACATCCTATTCCCCAATAAGGAATGTAGCATTACATCCTATTCCCCAATAAGGAATGTAGCATTACATCCTATTCCCCAATAAGGAATGTAGCATTACATCCTATTCCCCAATAAGGAATGTAGCATTACATCCTATTCCCCAATAAGGAATGTAGCATTACATCCTATTCCTCAATAAGGAATGAAGCATTACATCCTATTCCCCAATAAGGAATGAAGCATTTTTCAACAATGAATGAAGCATTACCAGAGTATGAAATAAGGCCCGTCCAACTGAGACGGGCTATATTTCTCATGGACGGTTTAAATTTACAGTTAGCCAGCCCGATGGTCTGGTAAATATTTTTTACATATTCCATACATCGGAGTAAATTCACCATATCTAGGTGTCTGCTCTGGTTAAATCCATTTTTTGGATGGTAACATCTTGAAGGTACCAGCCCTGATGTCTGGCTGGGTTTTTGGCTTATTTCATACACTGGCATTATGGCCTATTTCCTCAATAGAGAATAAGGCATTAGAGCCTATTCTCAACATGGAATGAAGCATTACAGTCTATTTCTCAATATGGAAAGAAGCAATACATCCTTTAACTCGATTCGTAAGGAAGCTTTACATCCTTTTACTCAGTACAGAATGAAGCATTGCTGGTCTGACTGACAGTAAAATATGTCCAACAAGTCACTTCCACCAAGCTATCATATTCACATGAATATCATGAAATTTCTGCTGACTTTCCAGGCTGAATATCAGTTGATGAGCATGTCAAGAGTAATGCATGTTTAGGTTCAAGCAGGCCAATGACGAACTACAGTGTCACAAATATAAACCCACTGGTCAGAAGCTGAGGAAGGCTTCACGTGACTCTTGACCCAGGAACATGTGATCATATCGTGTAACATACAAACATAAATGTTACCCGGTCGGACTGGGTTGATGTGTACAGACAAGGTGTCCCTGTAGGTATGAAGTGTATGGATGGTTCTGGATAGTCAGCATTCATGGCATGCCTCGTCCCTGGCCCCGTGACAGTAAGGATGTGCTCAGCATCAGTTTACATGTGTTAGCCAGGAACAGTATCTAGACCAGCACAGTTAAATGATTGCTCAGGAACGTGCCTGACACAAAAACACTTGAGAGACTGTGGCATATGCTACATACTAAATGGCTCTGTGTAGTCAACGAGATTGTGGCCCAACATTTCACCCACCACTTGGCCCACAGTTTGATCCACTGTTTGGCCCACGTGGCCCACCACTGGACCCACCCCTTAGGGCACCACCTGACCACCACATTGCCCACCACTTGACCCACCACTTGGGGCACCACTTGGCCCACCGCTTGGGGCACAACTTGACACAACACTTAGCCCAGGGGACTGTTCTATCACTACTGCTTCTACAACCTACTACCTACTCCTTCTACAGAAAGAAGAGGCAAACATTAATATTCTTGCAACATCCATCATATTCAGCAAAAAACGTTTTCACTGAGGTGACCCTATGTCCTGCATAATGTTCATATAAGATGTGTATTGTCGTGTACATGTCATGTATCTGCTATATGTGTGGGTGTCGGAATCAACCTGTATTTTGAAGAGAGAGAGTATATGTCAGATTCTTATAGTCGAACATTCATAGTCTATCTGCAGTATGCAGATTTGAGACATTGCTTTCATCAGCTTGAAGATGAATCACAGCCTGTTTGTCTAGTTGTTGATGTTGATGTTGCAATCAGTTGAGTGATATCTGAGGGTGGTGTAATCTTGAGAAGCTTAAACGTGTACCAGTATATCCAGCTAGAACATAATGTTTGCTTGTGTGTCCTCTAATGTCTAACTCAGCAATATTCCAGTAATGTACAGAAATGTCTGTGTCATACCGTCACATGTATCAGTAATGTACAGAAATGTCTTTGTCATACCATCACATGTATCAGTAATGTACAGAAATGTCTGTGTCATACCGTCACATGTATCAGTAATGTACAGAAATGTCTGTGTCATACCGTCACATGTATCAGTAATGTACAGAAATGTCTGTGTCATACCGTCACATGTATCAGTAATGTACAGAAATGTCTGTGTCAGAAATGTCTGTCACCGTCACATGTATCAGTAATATACAGAAATGTCTGTGTCGTATCATGTATCAGTAATGTACAGAAATGTCTGTGTCGTACTGTCACATGTATCAGTAATGTACAGAAATGTCTGTGTCGTACCATCACATGTATCAGTAATGTTCAGAAATGTCTGTGTCATACCGTCACATGTATCAGTAATGTACAGAGATGTCTGTGTCGTACCGTCAAATGTATCAGTAACGTACAGAGATGTCTGTGTCGTACTGTCACATGTATCAGTAATGTACAGAAATGTCTGTGTCATACCATCAAATGTATCAGTAACATACAGAAATGTCTGTGTCGTACCGTCACATGTATCAGTAATGTACAGAAATGTCTGTCATACCGTCACATGTATCAGTAATGTACAGAGATGTCTGTGTCATACCGTCAAATGTATCAGTAGCGTACAGAGATGTCTGTGTCGTACCGTCAAATGTATCAGTAACATACAGAAATGTCTGTGTCGTACTGTCACATGTATCAGTAATGTACAGAAATGTCTGTGTCATACCGTCACATGTATCAGTAATGTACAGAGCTGTCTGTGTCGTACCGTCACATGTATTCACTCAACATATATTACCACTCATTCATTATATATACTATCCCAAAAAAGAAACGCATAGGCATTTTGTATTTTTTAAAATCTATTAATTACCTATTGTGTTCAAACAATCGTCAAAATATGTAACAAAAGTGTTGATAACATGATTTTACACAATTACACAGGTAGAAAATCGTCTGTACCTGAAAAATGTAATTTTCTGAGTAAAATTGATATTTTATACTTATCCTGACTCATGCTTATTATGCTTGTCTCCTCCTTCTATGCGAATGATAGTGGAACACTTGAAAACTCTTGTAGTTCCCTTTAAAGCGGACATAAAAGTACACTCACCCACGAGTTGCCTCCCTTGCATAGTTTCCCGCCAAAACAGTCACATGACAAACCATTCTTGTCACTCTCTCCATAATATGCCCAACACGTGGATTTACCATGAAATCCGAAGAGCCATCAGTGGGGAGGTTGGGAGGGCTTGACATCATGAGTCAGGATAAGTATAAAATAACAATTATATTCAGAAAATTACATATTTTTCCTTATCCTGACTCATGCTTATTATGCTTCCAGAATCCGATGGATTGGTGGTGGGTCAGGTCACCTTATCACATTTATTGGCTGTACTAGATACGTCCTGTATCTGCCCCCATGGG